TATAATCAAATTGTCCCGATATTACACACACACACACACACACACACACACACACACACACACGTGCGCCGCCTCGACTCAAAACAATGACTCCCACAGCGCTGCCATTTTTCGACGCCATGTCGCGCGTGTGCAGATGGCGGGCGCGCTCGGGCCCGTCCTCCATTCACTTTGAGCAGGGCAAAGCGTAATGAGGCCACCGCGGCCATCTGCACAGTATGGTGCGTAGCCATTAGTATTAGCGCCATGTTTGCTCACACATGCTTCAGCTATCTTGTCACATAATCATGTTCTGATGCAGTGTTTTGATATTATTTGGAGAAAATGCAGCAATTGTAAAAAAGTCAGAGGCGGAGCTAGACTTTTATACTGGGGGCCGGGGGGGCCATGGGATGTCCATGTAAGGCTATCTCAGGGGGTCCGCAAAACAAAATATATATTGAATATACACACACACACACACACACACACACACACACACACACACACACGCCTGAAAGATTGCCAACACTAGTTACAAATATGCAGACAATCAGTCAATTAATATGAATAACCAAGGATAATGTTTATAAAGAATAATAATAATAATCATAAAATACTTTAAGATTTGTAATTTATGTTGTTCCTCTTTACAAACCACTCATTTATCTTGCCCCCCCCACCCCAATCTTTTAATTTTCTGCGCACCTTCGAAAGACAGTTGACTTTTGTTACTTGCACCATTTGCAGTCACACAATGTCATAAAATCTCCACTGTCAGCCAAAATAAATATCAGGGAAAATAGTCCCATGTAAATGGTTAATTTATTATTCAAACTTTTCAGCTTGAGGATAACAACCAGGGATGGGGAAGCGGTGGCAGGCCGCACTTTGTGTGGCCCTTTGATTAACCCATGTCCCGGCCCCCCAAATTTTCCAAACCCCCAAAATTCTTCTGAAAATGCGAATAAACATTAAATATAAGTTACCTATGGAGAAGACAGGGAAATGTGGAAACACATTTCTTCCCCTCAACCACCCCGCTCTTGCCCTTTCCCCTCCCCACATGCATACGTCAGGGTCTCGCACCGCCCCCGTGACTCTCTGCTGTGTTTAAATGTTAGTGGTGATGTGATGCAACTCTTTCAGCTTCTCCATCTGCACTTCCACCTCCACCTACCTGCTCCTCCGTCTGCATCCCGCCATCCTTTCTCGCCGTGTCGTCAGTCGGGGCCAGGCTGTGTCGCCCTGTCTGAAGGCAGCCTGCTTAGCAGCTCTTGTGTTGTAAATGTCTTACAAATGAACTTAGGAAGCTCCTGTTGGGTTCTTGAAAACGCGTGTCGGGACATCGGGTGGAAGAGTGAGGAAGATGTCTCGGAGAGCCTCTTGCGTGTGTGTGTTGTCTTTGAACTGCCTCTGGAGATCTCTTCAAGGCTGAGGCCTGTCACTTCCAAAAGACCGACTCTCCGCAGGAGACCAGGCGAGGGAATGCGCATCGCATATTTCACCACCAGTCAGGAGGGCCCGCGTGCCTCACTGACACCACAGTAAATCTCGCCTTCAGAGCGCTACAATGAAAGTGAAGTATAGTGAGAGCGAGGCGCTATACTTGTTACGATGATACACGATTGAAATCAGCAGTGAGGAACCTTTTTCTTCCCAATGGCCCTTTGTGTTACCCGGGCGGACCATACTGCTACCGCCGTGATAAACCAAATAAAAATAAACAAATCACATTTTTTTCCTCGCAGACTAACAACCTTATCATTTCACAATACTGTATACATCAATAATCACATCCAAATATGTATCTAATAAAATTAACCTACACCCGTCACTTTCTGTTGGCGTAAAAAGCAGGATTGACATTCAATAATCATCAGCAAAAACGAGCCTGATACTTTGTTTTCTTCTTCTTTCAGATTTGCATTGTCAAAGAAAATTGTGTGCTGCCATCTAGTGGTTGGCTACAAGCTAGCGCTATGAACTGTACAAAAAAAAGACACTGGACTTTGATTTGTGTTCATCATGCTTCACAACAACAAACAAGATGCATGTTCAATGAAATCAATGTCTAATGATTTTGATGCTTGTTTCAAACCGCTCAGGATGATTAAATTGGAGGCATTTCTACAAACACATTTTTGAACCATATTTATCTAAACATGAAATAATGCAATCGTTTTTAGTTTTCAAATCTTATTTTTTTAATGACTGCTTTTAATGTTTTTTTTTTGTTGTTCTTTTTTTAACAGTATACTTACTGTATATGTGTGTGTGTGTGTGAATGTATGTATGTCGGGGTTTGCTTTCCGAATTTTGTTTTTATCAAACATTGTATCAAAGGCATTTTCTACTGATATCGATCTCCGTGGCTATCACCATACATCTTGATTTTGAATTATCGCCCAGCCCTACAGGATAAGGTCATTTTCCTAATTGAGTCCAAATGTTCCTAGTAAAAACAAACACACCAGAAGTACGGGGCTAACAGTTGCTGAAAGTGCAATGTGTCCTCCGTTCCTGCAGGTGGTGGTACAGGCAGCCAGCAGACCATTCTCCATGAGGAGCAGTAGAAAATGCCGGCTCTGCCAGCACTGCTGCTGTCAATACACTTCCTGTTGTTCCTGCTGCTAGCCAACATGCCGCCACGCTCGCTGTGTCAGACTCCCGTACTCTCTGCCGTCCGCATGGGTGAGTTTCCGCCAATAATCTGTCAATTGGTGTTTTGATGACAGGTGTCATCAATGCTGTGTGACATCCTCTCAAGGAAGTCGGGGTACGTCATTTTTTTTTTTCAAGTCAGTTCTGTTTAATTATTGTTAACTTAGCCATCTTGTACTGAGCCGCCAGGACAGAGATGCGTGTACTACTGTCATACATCGTGCTCAATTCATTAGTCACCCTCTTCGACATCACAGTGTCAGAGCGGGCTCAAAGTGCATTTAGACCGGCGAACTGCAAGATTTCCCCATGCGGATGATGCAGTTGGCCGTGCATGCCACGTGTGCCTCCTCCCTCCCCAAATAGTTGGGTGATGCATTTAGGGGTGGGTTATTAAAATATTTTTAAGATGATAATGATCGGAATTTGTTCAATGAATAGATTTTTACAGTGATTCAGAGGGATCGTCTCACGAAACTAGGGCCCTTTGTGTAAACTTGTCACTGTATAGTACAGTTTAAAATAGTAACGGTGAAACTGAGAATCTCAGGGTGAGTTGTATTTTTTATCATTTGTTTTTGTGCCGGTCCGTCGGAATGTCTTACTTTGAAAACGGTCTATGCCGCAAAATCAGTTGGAGACCATCGTCCTGTGCTGGAAATGTATTGATGTCATTGATAAATCAACTTCGACTTGACTTTCATCACATGGTCGACTGCAAAAAATTTTGAATCTTTCAAGCCCTAACCTGCACCTGTGTAGCATGAGCTTTTGTTTTTCAATCGTTAAAAGTTCTGCAGGAGCGTACTGAAATTCAGCACGTTGAAAATAGGGCCCGGGCAGAGCAATTAGAATCAAATATGCTGCTGCTCGAGCACCGCAAAGCAGCATGTAATTAGTTCACCTTTGACTCGGTCGGCAATACATCATGTTTTGCCATTATTTAAAATTAGTGAGATTCCAGCAAAGACAACAATTGCTCGACTTACCTCGCGATAAGTAATCCAGAAAGGTTCTGAGGAGAAAAAAAAAACGGCCACCCGAGCACTGTTAAGAGAGGCATGTCAGGATTTCACCGTAGACTAAATCTACCTTGTCTTGTCTTTATGTAAAATCAGTCAGCTTCACGCTTTGATAAAAGGGAACAATAGAATTTGTATCGTTGAAAATTGGGTCCTGCCAGACTGCTGGGAGTGAAATTTGTGGCTGCTCGAGCGCTGTAAAAGGTCGTGCAGCGATTTCATTTTTGACTTATATACAACATCTTGTCTTGATTTAAAACCAATACGGTTTGTGTTTTGATAACAATAAAGACATTTGCAAAGCTGAAAATTGGGCCCTGCCATAGCGCCGAGAATGAAATTTGTGGCTGCTCAAGCGCCATAAAAGGTTGTGTCATTATTTCACTTTTGACTTGCTCGCCAATACATCATCTTGTTGTCTCATTTAAAAGCACTTAGCTTTGTGTTTGGATAACAATAAAAACATTTGGAAAGTTGAAAATTGGGTCCTGGCGGTGTTCTGAGAATGAAATATGTGGCTGCTCGAGCCCCATAGAAGAAAAAAAACAACTGAATGGTGAGACTAGCAAAACGGGTTCACTCAGCGTCTTTTGGGGTTCTCAGGACTTAAGCTGCAGCACAGTGGGGTCTTCAATGAGACAAGAGGCATCGTCACTTTGGTGGTTCTAGACTTGTTGGTGAGAGATAATGTGGCAAGCTCGATATCAACTGCTCTTGTAAAAGCAAAATGTCGGCGCAAACAGGAGCAGAGAAGAGAGTTACTTCAGGTCCTCGGTGCTATTTCAGGCGATCAGTATCATTCCTCAATCTGGTTGGGTAAACGCGTCAGTGCCTGAGGCAACGTAAGAGAAAAGAGGCGAACAAAAAACAAATAAAAAAAAAAAAAAACAACAAAAAAGTAAAGTTCAAGCAGGAGGCAATATTGAAAATGGTCCAAAATACAAATTGAGTCTAGACTGGGGATGGCAACATCAAAGTTGGAGGAGGAGGTGGCACAATTTTTCATCAGTGCTACTCGGGGGCCACGTAAAACTTCCTAAACTCATGCAGGACAGAAATGTCACTTTAAATACGGACAAAATACGTCTATGCGTGCAAAATACTTGGTCTTAATATATTTTATTTTGGATAATACAGTTTTCAATACATGGATAAAAGATCTACACCCCCAAACCAATAATAAAAGGGTTTGAAGCAACCAAATAACACATACCTTATAAATATATTTTTTCCAGTCCTCATAAAAATGACCATTCAAGGACGCACAAAATTGTTGAACAACCACAAGAACAACAACAAAAAACATTCGGTGCAAAACCTTTTGCATGTTTTCCACAAAAATCATCTCACTCGAAATTGAAATATTAATGATATACTATGTTTGTCATAAATGGCATTCCAAACCCTCCAAAAGAAAAAAAATAAAATAAAAATTAGACCTAGTCATGTCTTAATATCGGGAAAGTGAAAGTGCAATCACTGCCATCTAATGGTGATTGATGGTATTGCCACTTAAAGGGAGCATATCATGCTAACGTTTTGAGCTTTGAGCCATGTTAAAATGCTAACACCAAAAGCATCCCACGAAAATGGAATCTTCTTCCATTTCCTCTGTAAGCAACAGATACACACACACACACACACACACACACACACACACACACACACACACACACACAGTATGTGTGCGTCATTAAATAAAAGCACAACACAAAGAATTTGAGTGAAGCTGTTCTTGACTGTCTCTCCAGCGGCCATTTTGGATGACCAGTCTGTGTGTGGGCGCGGCGAGCGTCTGGCGCTGTCACTGGCCAGGGAAAACATCAACAGCCTGATGGAGGTCCCGGCCCGAACTCGAGTGGAGGTGGACATCTACGAGCTACAGAAAGATTCCCAGTATGACACCACTGACACGAGTGAGTGAGGCTCTCATTCATGTGCAGAAATGCTGAAAATCCACAAATATGGCTTGTAACTTGCATGAAAGGATTATTTTTGGGGCGGGTAGAGCGCCATAAGGTGACTTGGTTGGGAGCACGTTGGACTTGACGCCATCATTTGAAGTCAGTCACGTTTGTGCTTTGCTACAGAACAATAAGCGCTGAATTTACCTTCAGCTAAAGTAAGAATCCATAAAGACTAAATAATTCCGCCTTCAACCACATTGATGCTATTTTGCGTCATGATTCAAAATGATTTAAATCCTTACGTTTCTTGCTGTGTGACCTGACCTGAAGGCGATAAGGCAGCTGGGGCTTTGCAAAATGCTTAAAAAAAAATAAACTCCTTATTACTCCTGCCTTTTTTACTGCAGCCGCTTCCACTCTTTCTTAAAAAAAAAAAAAAAAAAAGGCTGAACATTACACTGGGAGCATTAAAAGTGTTCGAGCTTTTTTTTTTCCTTTTATGACTTCATGCTAATGAGTTTACATGTTCATTGGAGAGTGCCAATGACCCACCAAGGCGGTCTCATTAAGAGCTGTGGTCCAGTGGCCTGCAGGAACAGCTGCTTGTGTCCACCACTGCGCCCAATAAAAAAACATAACAATAAGAATAAGAAATAAATAAATAACCTTGATCCTGCGAATGCAAACTAAGGAACCAGTTCAGGACTGAGACTCCCTCGCTCCGATTTGGATACTGGAGGTCTGTGACGCTGCCTGCCATCAGCCGCTGGCAAAATGTCCAGTTGTCCATGAGAAGGCGAGTGTACTTGTGCGACTTTGTGTTGGTGTGTTTGTGTTTGTGTGTCCTTGACCGATGGGCAGGAGACTCTGACAAGCTTGTTTGCTCAAAGCCATTTTTTTTTTTTTTTTGGTTGGGTCTTTGGATCAGAGAGCTTGTCGTCTTACAGCTACAGCTGTCTGTGGAGCACACACAAACACACACACACACACACACACACACACACACACACACACACACACACGCGCGCAAACATGCGCGCAAAAACATGCTCCCAAATCCAGGACACGCAGACAAAAAGCATTCCTCTGCATCACTATGTGATACACAGACATGCGTTAGCCGTGTCTTAGCACGGACTGATGAATGCCGAGGCTTTTCGAGAGACTTTTAGCACCCTTTCAAGCTTTATGCTTCTTCAGAGAGCCCCTTTGGGTGTGGCATGATTCAAATCAAGCAATGCTTCCGGAGAATAACAAACTCACAACTGGTGTGTTTTTTTTTTTCTTTTTTTTCTTTGAGGTCAGCACACATTTAACCTCAACCTCCAAACTCATCACATTGATTGCATTCTTGGTTGGCTGACTCCTGAGTCTGATAAGCTCTTGAAGAAGTCATTAGCAGAGGGTTCACCTATTTTTGCTGTCCACCCTGCTATGACTGTTTACATGCGAGTTCAACATGGAAACAAACTGTCATTGTTTTTTTTTTTTAAATAAATCAGGACAATTTGTCTTGGATTGATTTTTTTCTTTCATTTTTTTGTTTTGCTCTTGACTACTTCTCCCTGCCCGATCTTAGACAACGGAGGTCAGAAAGCTAATCTGTTTTGGATGTGAAGGCTGTTTTCATCTGTAAAGCGGATGCAGAATTGCGTCGCATGCTCGACATCTGCTATTTAAGGCCAACGGCCAGCGGCACTTGTTTGGCATTTTATTTGCGCATGTCGGCGTTTCTTTGAATTGGGTTTGTCAGGTGGACGTGTGAGCGAGTGTGTTCCTGCAATCGATCGATGGGCACAGCGCGTGCTGCTCAATACGTTTTTTTTTCTTCGTTGCCAATTCTACCACTCGCCATGCCGGGAAAACGGGGCAGAGCGCCGACGCGGAAGGAGCTGTCAAGGCCAAACATGTAGGGTCCTTATTTTGAACCGCACGGAGTTGATGTTATTTAATTGCGAACAGGACCAGAGCTCATTTATTAAGAGGGAAGCATTTAATTTTGCAAATATATGCTAGAAGGTAAGAAATTGTAGTAGGTCATGACAAGACAAGTATATGCCTGCTTTGGGTAGACTTCAATGATCCACTGACTATTTCGAATACCGGGCATTTCTGGAGAATAAAGCCTTTGGTTTATTCGTTTGTCACCTACTCAGGACAAATTAAAAACCTCCCTTTTCCCATGAGTGGGCAAGGGAGCTTGTTTACACAACGACAGAGAACGGGGGTGGGGTGTGTGGGGTGTCTTAGGGGTGCAGTGTTTATCAACAGGTAGGATATATATTTTTTTTTTAATATAATAAGAATGCATTTGCTGCAACATCCACTTAACACCAATAAACACCGCCATTAAAGCGATACTTCCTTTTCCCGTGAGTGGCCAAGAGACTTCATTTATTCAACCAAAGTCCTCCCTTCCTAGCCAAGGGAGTTTATCTACTCACTCGCAGAGAGTGCCATTTTTCTATGAGGTGTTTATTTCAACAAAAGTATTTTTCCAAATAAAACACTTTTGTCGCATCCTCCAATTGAAAATAATCCCCCCCCCACCCCTCCCAAAAAAATGGAGGCATGGTATCTGTTAAGATGGAGGCAGTTATTTGAGGAAATACATTATTTCTTGTGACGTGACATCTGACAGATTGGTTTTAACTTTGGTGTGAGCATATTGGCAGGTGTTAATGTTTTACCCCTCTCATTTAAATAGAGTGGCCTTTATTTCAATACATTTTAAAGAGTGTACTGTATATTTAAAAAAAATCCATGAGTAAATGAAACGTTGACACTGTATCACATATTAGAAAAATATATAAATTAAGGCAAACTGTGTTTGTTTTTTTTCTGACAGATTTTTACACCCCCCCAATCATCATTCTGGCAGGTGCTCATATTCTCCCCCTCTCATTGAGCTAAATAAGTTAAAAGGCAAGAGGAGTGGGGGGGACATGTAAATTTTTTTTTGTTTAGAAATTAGTTCGCGTAATATTATTGCATATTTAGAAATATTTTTCCATGAGTGAATGACACTTTAAAACATACGTGTCAAACTCAAGGCTCGGGGGCCAGATCTGGCCCGCCAAATCATTTTATGTGGTCCCCTGAAAGAAAATCATGTGTCAACTGGCATGATCCTTGCTAAAAAAAAAATGACTGAAAATGTCAAATTGTCATGTGAAATAAATAACGTTGAAATTTTGCAATTATTTTGTTACCTTTACAAGTAATAATGCGATAATGCAATAATCATTTTTGTGGTTTCACTGTCATAACGACCCTCCGAGGGAAGACGTCACTCAAAAGTGGCCCGCGACAAAAATGAGTTTGACACCCTTGCTTTTAAACAACGTATTACGAAAAGATATTAACCGAGGCAGGATGTCTATTGAAACCATTATTTGAGTAAATTTGCCATATTTTGATTCACATCCCAGAAGAAATGAGGAATTCATTGTTTCACTTGGGCTCCGTCCTTCTTTAATGTTGCCTCTCTCATGTCTCCAAATGAATGGGTCCATTGTTGATGAGGTACCTCTCGGTGAAAGAGGCTTTGTAGGATGCAGCTCTTGCGTTGGATCTCATTACTGGTGTGCACGATCCGTGTATTTTTCTTGAGTTGTTAGAGATTTTAAAATGGAAATCATCTCAAGCAGCAGCAGCAACAGCAGGCAACACTTTGGCTCCTGTTGCCCTCGGAGGCAACCCTCCTCTCAAATAAGTCACATTAGAGCCGGTCGGATTTCATTGCTCCACTGGGATCAAGGGGATGAACTAAACTACTGAAACTCTGCCTGAATGTAGTATTTGCCTATGTCATTTATGTGTCCCCCCACCCCCACCTTTTTCCCCCCCAGTGTGTCAGATTCTACCCAAAGGTGTTGTTTCGGTGATAGGCCCTGCGTCCAGCCCCGCCTCTGGCTCCACTGTTAGTCACATATGTGGCGAGAAAGAGGTGAGTGAGTTTGTCACGTTGCGTACATGGCCGATGGGGTGACATTTTGGAATGAGCTGAAAGTGCACGTCGCCATTTACAGGTGGACTTGTCTCAACTTTTGAATGGCCACCATAACTTTCTCTTCTCTAACAAGGCGCTGAATGGCAAAATTCACAACAGGTGTTTGATGCAAAAAAAAAAAAAAATAGAGAGGTCCACCTCTGGGCCTTTCTGTGACTCTTCCGGTGAACTTTTTTACATGTGTTTTGTTCATTTTCACCTCTGTGAAAATGAACAAAGTTCCTTCCGGTTTCGGCCTGATTATTTTGATCGAACTGCTCAAATGGAGCATTTTCATTTGGTTTGGGCTTCTAACCCAACGGAAACAGAATATAAGATTCCAAACACCTGTTGTGAGATTTGCAGTTGAGCTATGTCATGGGACTTCAAAAGTTAAGTTTGCTTGTAAAAGTTCTTGTGCGTTTTAGGTTCAACCTGAAACTTCACCATGAGGGTCTATTATCGTTTTTTTTTTTTTGTTTTTTTTTTTTTTTTACTGCCTTGGCTCTTGAATGGGTCTTCGTGATTATTGGCATCAGTTGCTGTAAGTTCCTCCTTGCAGATCCCACATGTGAAGATCGGTCCGGAGGAGACACCCCGCCTGCCGTACCTTCGCTTTGCCTCTGTCACCTTGTACCCCAGCAACGAGGACCTGAGCCTGGCAATCGGGGCTATCCTGCGCTCCTTCAGCTACCCCTCGGCCAGCCTTGTCTGTGCCAAAGCCGAATGTGAGTCATATGCTGAAAATAAATAATGATTCTATTTTATTCTATTCTATTCTTCCCACCTCCTTTAACATTTCTTGACCAATTCAAACCATTTCCAATTCCAAAAATTCAAAGTTGTTTCACATTTAATTCTGTGCGATTTCAATTCACCCTCAGCTTTTCAAAACTCACACATAATTTCCTCAGGAATTCAGTTGTCTCGTTGATTGTACAGTCAGAAAAAAAATTACCTTCAAACCCATAATTAGTTATAGCAAAGCAAGGCAGCTTTATTTTTGTAGCACAATTCATCGAAAGGGACACAAGGCAATTCGTACCTCACACAAGCAAAGCCCCAAGGCCTAAAAGCAGCTCATGACAAGTCAAAAGCATACCAGAGGAAGTAAAAGTAGACCGAGTAGTAACAAAAGTATTCAAAGAACCCAAATTGACAACATTTATACACATTAAAACCTTTAAAAGTAAATATATTAAACTAGGTTTCAAGTAACACTGACAAATAAGTCATGCCACCAACGTCGCAGCTAGGCTAATGTCACTTTACATATCATGCTAATGCTAGCTACTACGTATTGCTAGCACTGCTATTTTGTTGAAACCAGCTACATAATTCATCGTTTTGTTCCAGAACGTTAACATGCTATTTAAAACTGTCTGGTCAGGTATATGATGGCAGAAGTGTCTCTAGAATCGATTATTTAGCTAGCAGGCCACACTTGGTCTGCCATACTTTCGTACTGTTGTGTTGTTAATGCTGTAAGTGATTGATTCTTAAAACGTGTGTATTTTTAACTGCTTTTTGCAGTTTGGACAGCGATCATAAAGTTGTACTCATGCTGCAGGCTTCCCCCACCCCCCTGCCCCTTCTTTTATTTATTATGCTTGTGCGCACATCCTCCTGGGAGGCTAGTCAGGCTGCGCTCATCCAATAATAAAAATGATGTTGGAATGCTTTGCATTTTTTTTTGGAAGGGAAAAATGACGAAGCTCTCAGGCAGCGCCGGGGAATTAATTATAAAGCCATATTTTCCTTTTAGAAAGAGCACATTATTGATTGATTATGCAGTGGGTTATTGGGAGGCAGAAGAATTCAAGGAGGGACGGCGCGCGGCGCGGGGGTGGCCACGGAAGTCTGGAGAGGCCTCGTGAAAAGCACAAACAAAAGCGTCACACAGAGCCGATCGTTATCCTCGGGCTTGAATGGAGGGAGCCCACGAGGCCTCCCCGCGGCGTTTTCGGATTCCTTATCCGACCCGTCGCTTCATTGACTTCCGAAAGCTTTTCTCCAGGCTTCAGATCTTCGGATGATGGCGGATGGGTTCCAAACCGAATAGGAGTGCGGAAGTTTACCGCTTGCGATAAAAGTCACGTAAAATAGAACGAGGGCAGCACAGACGCATGGCGGTCGACACGTTGGCCTCTCACTTCGGAGGTTCTGGGTTCGAGTCTCTGTTTGAATGTTCTCTCCGTGCTGATAATAGTACAAATGTGAAAATATTCCAGTAATTTGTATTTTTGTAAAATTGTTCACTTTAACAACCCATGTCTGCTAATTTTATTTTCTTATTTATAAATCATTTATTTGTTATTATTTAGTCAATGATATGATTTAAAAAAATATTCTGCAACCTTTTTACAGCTTATGTAAAATTGTTGATTTTGCCAAAAAATAAATAAAATGTTTTATATTTTGTTCTTCAATATATATATAATTATAATTGTAATTAGCCAATGTTTTATATTGTAATGCAATGGTAAAGATGTTTAGATACCAATATTGGTTATATTATGGGGCCAATTATACAGTAAAATAAAAAACGTTTTGTCAATGTACTGCTGTATTTTCTGTCAAATATATGATCTTAATCTTATTCATTATTATTATTAATCAGTTTATTTTAATTATTTCCATTTTTTTAAAAATGATATCTGTTGACCTTATTTTCAAATGAGATGATGAAAAGTGAATACATTTGAATTTGAAACTTTTAAGACCAAAAAAAAAAAAAAAAAGCATCAGTAAATTCTTGGATGAAAGACTGGAGCAGGCCGTACATGACCCGCGGGCCCTAGTTTGCCCACCCCGGCCTTATCGACTCACTAAACTGAGGTCTTTCGCTCCTTTCCCTCATTTCGGGACGCATTGCAGATAATTTTTTTTTTTTTTTAATCAAATAACAACTACATGCCGATACATTGAATGTGCTGATATTGCCAGCCCTTTTCTACCATTTTTGTACCCCCCCCCTCCCCGAGCCCCCTCCACAAGGTTATCACACTGCAAGACGGTGACCCACTTGGCTGCGCTATCTTATCGCCATGGCGCCAGTTGCCATGGCTGCGGGAAAGGTGCTAACTGCCATTCAGCCAGCTTATTGCACGTTCACACAACCGCCGCGTGGGCTAACGTGCGCGTTCATTGTCCTGCTGCGTGCTGCACTGTTCATTTATTTGTTTGCTAGGTTCCTTGCTCACTTTGCGTCCGGACGCGCGTGCGCACACACACGCGCACATGCAATCCAGACAACATCTTGTTTTCATCCTGTTGTGGTCAGGCTCCAGTTCGCCCTCATGAGGATGAGCGTCGGAGAAAATGGAAAATACACGCGGAGTGGCATGTTGGCTTGCAGTCGAATGTTCTGGGTTCGAACGGGTTTCTTGTAGCAAAGACAGAGATGCACGTTAGGTTTATTCAAGGCTGTAAATTGGCCGCAGATTTGAATGTGGGTGCTGGTCAACATCCGTCTTGCCCAAGGTTCCTTTCTGCTGAGATGGCGGTCAGCCAAATGGCTGTTTTCGGTGTGTGCGTGTGTGTGTGTGTGCGTGCGTGTGTCTGTTCTTTACGTTCAGTGTGGTGTGTCACTTTGGATGAAAGTGTCATTGGCCGTTTGTTAGGCTGCCTTTTGAGTCGTTTGAGCTGCAAGGGGCGGTGCTCCTTTTTTTGGCAGGCGGCTGTTATAAACGCAGACGGCGACCATGAATCGTCCTCGCGAGCGTCTTCAAATGAGGCCAAGAACGCAGCTGACATTGTGCTGACGACTTGACATGTGTCAATTCAACTGTTCCTCTTCCATGTTGACCGGCACTTTTTTTGGTTGTTGTCATTTCTTGTTCTATGGTTAGCATCACATTTGTCCTCTTTGCTATTCTTCGATTGCCTGTCTTGCTCTATGCTTATCATATTTTCCTTGTTTTTTCCCCCCTTTTTTCAATTCCTGTTCTATGGTCACCATCACGTTTCCCTCCCCCCCCCTCACCATTTCCTCTTCTGCGGGCGTCATCACATTTTTACCATTCACTATTTCCTGCTTCACGCTTATCACATTTCCCTTTTTTGCCATTTCCTGTTCCATGGATATCATCACATTTCCTGTTCCCATGTCCTGTTTTATGGTTGCCATCATATTTTCCTCTGCCAATTGCCTGTTCTGTGGTGATACTCACATTTTTCCTCCGCTCACTTCCTGTTCTATGGTTGTGATTACTGTATATTGTCCCATTCTCTGTCATTGGCTTTCGTGAACTGTTTCTTTTTTTCCTTTTGGTCATCACTGATGCATATTTTTTTTGTTCTATGGTTATCATCTCATCATCCGTCGTACCCATCCCAGTACCCATTACAGTCATTTAAGCCTTTGTGCTCCTTTTTAACATCCTCGCCCCCAGGCAGGAATTAATCCTAGCGCGCTCCGTCAAATGTGAGCGAGAGCCCTCTCCTATTTTCGGGTCATTTCCGACGCATCTTTTCTCTCGCTGTGGCCGGCTAACGACGCGCTATCGTGAGACTAATTCCATTAAGCAGTCGTCAGCGGATGGATGAGGTTGAGGACGGCGAGAGGGCAAGGTGTTGAATGCAGAAAAAAAAAAGAAAGATAAAAAAAAAAAGAAAAGAAAGAGGCTGAAAGACAGCCGAAAAAAATATGTGACACAAGCAGGGTGAAGGAAGAGAAGAGGCTGTAAAGTGCATTGATTTTTCTCCCCTCCGTGCTCAAACTAATTAAAGTTTTGGCGTGCTTCAGTGATTACCCCTCTGCTTACAGAGGCTTTCTCCCGCTGAAGGGCTGTATCCACTACCTCTCCATCCAGATGCATGATGGCGCCGCCCCTCCGCCTCTGCCACTTATTTACATCGCCGGGGGGCGCTTTACTATAGCGTTACAATTAGGCGACGGCAACAGTCGACTTTCCGGTTCAGGCGCATTCCACGCACAGTGTCAAGTGACTTTCGACTGCCACTGGTTATGCTCATTACCCAAAGCAAGAAGTTTGCGTGAAGAGCGGGGGAATCCGCTCAAGTGCATGAATTTCTGTCTTTCGGCTCCTTTCTTGTAGTCGCTTTTCGTTTTCCAATTTGTCTTTCCAAAATAATAGTCACAACGGCGCTCAGAGAAATGGAAAGTGTAATTGAGCTGTGACACAAACAGTGAATTGCAGCGGGCCGAAAGGCCTCCTCCAAGATAAACTACAGTATTGGGTTTTTTTTTTCCTCCTGTTGGAAATAATAGAAATGGTAACTGCTGCCATCATATAAACTGTGTTCTCTGTACAGACGACATTCAAGCCGAGTGCTCATTTGCGCTTGATTGAATCCGATGGAATTGTACTGATGCGGTGCAGCATATCATCGAAACGTGCATGAAACTATGCCGCACTGTAGGTTTGAAGCCGTTTGGCAGATAATGAACAATTGGACAAATAAAGAGGCTCTGAGATGATTCCTGCCAGTGAAGATTACTGTCAAATCAAACGTGAATACAATTCCACTTTGTGTATTTAAAAACACCACACAAATTTGCCTTCTGGTCGCTTAACGAGACGCGAACGAGACACCATGCAAAAACGCCATAGACAGACCATTGATAGTCACGTTGTTACGGCCATTTACGCAATGGATAGTTGAGCACTGACGGTGCGGCATGCACAAAGACAGTAAAACTATATTCACAGGCAAATATTTTCTTCTGCTTGAAAAACAAATTATATTGTTGCAAAATAATTTATTCATGAACCAGTGGTTGTACGGAAGCTTTGTAATGTAGACGAAACGTACATGGAAAAAAAAATATTTCAATTTACTTGACAAGGAAGGAAGACCAGAATGAAATGACATGAATTCATAATTCGGAAACAACTAAAAAATGCAAATATTAAAGGGCTTTTGATTTGTTTGGAAAAAAAAACTATCAAGGGCTTTTCTGCCTTTTAATTTTGACATCAAGAGCCCTGTGATTACAGAGCTCTTGATTTTTATGTTTTCAAATGCATATTAAAGTCAAGAGTTCTATAATATATGTCGCGTGAAACTCGCCATTTTTCCTTCCACTTGACCTATTCCTGGCATCCCTGCCGTTGCCACGGCGACCCCAGATCCCTACGGTCACGCTTGGCAACAACAAACAACCACAACAAAACAATGAGCACTCGATCCTCGTCTCAAATAAATCCTTCAAGAGGAATAAAATATTGACTACTTTTCACAACAGCTCGCAAATCTGTTTCCGGCCCTGACACCGACAAATGCTTATTTTCACTGAGCGGGGTTTTAAACACACATAAGCACTCAACCCAGTGATATTTCACCATTTGAACGGTCGCTGCGAGGCAGCCACCAGTCTGCCTGGCGTGCGCTGATAGAGACATTGATATGCAGCCTGACATGCCGTGTCGCTCTGCCTCAGGCCTGCTGAGATTGGAGGAACTGGTGCGGCGCTTCCTCATCTCCCGCGAGACGCTGTCAGTCAGGATGCTGGATGACAACCTGGACCCGACCCCGCTGCTGAAGGAGATCCGCGACGACAAAGTCGCCACCATCATCATCGACGCCAACGCCTCCCTCTCCTACCTCATCCTCAAGAAGGTCAGAGAGTACACACGCGCACCCACACATACAAACACTGTACATTATTGACTCTTTTCATCGCAGGCCTCGCATTTGCACTTCTAAATAGAAACTCGGAGGGAGGGAGGTGGGGACAACACGCTAAAAATGGTATTGTATTCAGGCCAAAGGAATAAAAGTGTTGCTTCGGCGCCATCTCGTGACATCTTGGTCTCAAGGGACGATGTTGAAGGGAGTTGAGGAGCTTGGCGTAATGCTTTGCTGCTATCGCGTGGCATCTTGGTGCCAAAGGACTCTGTTGATGTTGAGACGAGGAGCTTCATGTTGTGTTTTGCCTACATCTGGGGGCGTCTTGGTGTAAAGGAACTATTTTAAAATTGTATGAGGAGCTTCGTTTTAATGCTTTGCCGTCATTTTGTGGCATCTCGGTGCCGACGGACTAAGTTGATGTTGAGGCGAGGAGTTTCATGTTGTGTTTTGCCTACATCTGGTGGCATCTTGGAGCTAAGGAACTATGTTAAAATTGCATGAGGAGCTTCGTGTGATGCTTTGCTGTCATTTTGTGGCATCTGGGTGCCAAGGAACTATGGTGGTATTGAGGTGAGGAGCTTCATATCGTGCTTTGTCTGCCTCTTGTGGCATATTTTGGTGCAAAGCAACTTTGTTGGAATCGTATGAGACTCATGTGTTTGCGTGTTTGTCTCCTCAATGGGAATGCCAGATCATCAAGTGAGCTTATTATCCACAGAATAGTCAAAAGTTTTTAATTCCCTGCAAACTTCCGCGGGCTACACGCTTGCCCCAGTAAGCCGACGGAGGTCTATTTTTACCTTGGCAGGCCCCCTGCGGGGCCCATGTGAGAGACAATAACGACAATGGGACATCCTCGCTTGGACACACAATACTTGCGAGCGGGAAATTGTTCCAGAGCTCCGTGAGGACTCACTCGGGGCGCACAGGAGAGCCGTTGTGCCCTTGGAGAGGCCGTATGTTTCCCGTGATGGAAAAATAATGATTAACATACGCTCCCTATTCCTCATCCTCTCCTGCCTTGTTCGCCAAACATCACTTCCTTTTGCCCTCGATCTCTCCTCTTCTCACCCACCTGTCTCTTTGTTATTGTCTTTTTTTTCTCCCCCTCTTGTGCCGCAGGCGTCAGAGCTGGGGATGACATCACCGTTCTACAAGTACATCCTCACCACCATGGTAAGGGAACAGATTCTTCTTTTTTTTTTTTTTATGCATCCGTCTGTTTTCCATAGCGCTTGTTCTCATTTGATTTACTACTTGGTGACATGAAGCCTGTCTTAGCCTAAAACTGGCTCTTAAAAAAAAGGGGGGGGGGGGGAAATAGTTAAAAACCCTGTAAAGTCAATTTTGAGAATTGTTTATGAATACATGATACATGTTAGAAAGTCATTTGTGATCATGTGCAAACCACCATTTCAATTTTCTTGATTTGCTAAAACTGGACCCAGTGATGCATTTTGTAGTCCGGCATGAGTCGCCCGCTCCTCCGATTTGAAGAACTAGTCGCCTTCATTGGCATCAGGCAGTTATCTGGCGCAACAGTGATGTGCAGTTAACTAGTTAGTCTAGTTATCCTTACACCCCAAAAATGCATCTGGCATGTCCTCTTTAGAGTGCCCTGTTGTCCACAATGAGTGAGTGCATATCAGGCAGAGAAAGATGGTAAATTGAGGACTGGTGAAAAAGAAGAAAAAGGAATAAAAGAAAGTCTTAGACAGGTAACGCGCTAATTGGGGTTGGTATGGATGGCCAATTTAGAGCGCCTCGTTGTCGGCCGCAAATGAACACATCTCACACAGACAAAGGAGCACAGTAAGGCAGGGGCAACATTTCATTTGTCCAACTTGACAGCCAGTATGTAGACTGGGACGTTGCGCTGGTGCGGCTGCTTTAGAGCGCCTGCTTTAGAGTGCCTCATTGTCGCTCTGTGGAAATCTACTCTGTGGAATACAGTCCAGCCACTGGAGGCTCTTAGCAGAATATTTTCACAGATCAATCATGTAATCGTCATAAGATGCTAGGCGACCTGCCGTCATTTTTCCAGGTCATAGTCGAGATGTTTGATTGATGCTTCCTTGGTGAGCGGAATGTAGTGCAGTCAGGGTGTGAATTTTTGTCTATTCTGAAAGCTTATTTAATGTACTTGTTTTGTTAATCATTCAAATGTAGCTGGAGTGTTAACAACACTCTTCTGTGTGGTGTGTCAAAATGAGAAGACTTGTTCGGTTTCACTCTACAGAGACTTTAAAGTCAACTGTAATAGCTCCTGAGAGTATTATTCACGTTATTCATATCACTTCGTGTGACAAGTGCAACACCCTCAGTGCAGTTTTGACATGTACAATTACACAAGTGCAATATTACCATGGTGTTCGCGGGCGCAAAATATCTTCGCATTGCTCACCAGAATCGAACCTGACAGGAGCACGACTGATTGCTCTGGACCAGACCATCGCTCTTCACTTATTATTTCTATTTTTCTACTCGTTTCTTCTGCATTTTGCACATCCTTGCTTGTGCTTCCATTCCAGTTTCGTTTTGCATGACAAGGAGAATAAAAAGGCTAATTCTCTTCTAACTCTGAGACCCTTTACGAGCGCACAAAAAAGGAGAAAGCGATGCAAAGCACGCTGTGGGGGAAAAAGTGCGCGACTCGGGAAAGTGCAGAGGACGGGCCAAGCCACGCTGACGCCTCCCCCCTCCTTTTTAGCATTTCGATTAATGTGTCGCTTCATGCAGCCTTCACTCCGCCGCCGCTTTTCATTCCCTCCCTCGTACGCCCTCCGTACGTGCCTCACATGCTATTTAGATGTTGACGTGCGGCGGCGCGGCACAAACGTCACTATTAAAGAAGCAAAGCTATGACGATTTTACGCCGCCAAGCATCTAAAGATAAACTTCAAAAGGCGGATCTGTTTGAAATGCCGGTTGCTGGTCAACCTCCATTTTTTGGCGATCTGTTCCAGGGTTTGCTAAGCTGTCTAAACGGACACGGGAAAGCTTTTAAGTCACATTTGTAACAGTTGCGGTGGTTTAATATTAATTGAATGAAAGTACCCGGCATCTGCTGAACTTGTATCAACAGTAATTTTATGATCTTAAACTGAAGTTTTCGACCCCAAAAAAATATATTTTTTAAAAGCAAATGGTTCCGAATGTTGATGATGTTTGTTTGATTTCCTCTTAATCTTTCAAATTTGGTTTCCTTAAGTAGTGCAGAGACCAAATCTTTATATTGGCTAATGGGCGAAGTTAGCTAGTGCATATTAGCTTGGCCATCGCGCAACCTCTGCTGGCTTCAATACAGAAGGAGCAATGGAGCGTGTTTTATTGTTTTATTGTTCATTGTTGTATATATGAAACTTAGTCCATGTATACAGCGGTGGTTGTTTGAAAGTGCTCTATAAATACAGTTGAGTTGAGACAGGAATTACTCCTAACCCCCTAGCCTAGCGGCTAACTCTAATTCCTTACCGCTAAACCACAGGTCTCAAACTCTTGGTCCTCAAGGGCCTCTATCCACCCCGGTTTAAATGTTTCCCTCCTCCAACGCACCCGAGTCAAACAATCTGCTCATCAGAAAGCTTTGCAGAAGCCTGAAAACGATCACGATCAATTGAATCTGATGCGTTGAGAGGAGGGAGACATCTTAAAACAGGCAGGACAGCGGCTCTCGCGGCCCGGAGTTCCCTACCCCTGGCTTGACTAATAGCGAAATGAGTACTGTCAGTAAGGTCACACCAATAACACAGCTAGAGATTGTTGAAGAATATAATGACACAGTTTGAGTCAGCAATTGGAGTTGTCGTCTCAGTCAGTTGTCACTCTTCTCCTCTCCTTGTTGTCAAGCCTCTTCTAAGATTAGACGCTGTCACTCGCTCGCGTGCTCGTCACACTTGACTCTGCACTGTTTTACTCCTCCGCTGCCACACGGCGCACTGTCAGCGCCGTCACTTCAAAGTTTTCGCTGGCTTCTCGTAGGACTTCCCTCTCATGAGGCTGGACGACATCGTGGACGAGCAGTCCAACGTGGTGGGCTTCTCCATGTTCAACACCACCCATCCCTTCTACCTGGAGTTCATCCGCAGCCTCAACCTGTCGTGGAACGAGGGCTGTCACCTGTCCTACCCCGGCCCAGCGGTCAGTGAAGCATCAAATGGGTTTGCGCTCGACTGCAGGTTTTCGCAAGTCGGAAAATCAACGGCCTCGCCCTTGAGCTGGCACATATAGACCGGCCTTTCCCGACAATTTCAAGCCAAACACTCCCAACGGTGTTGTGAAGAATATTTTACATTAATAATAATCATTTGTTAAAAAAAAAAAAAAAAACAACGCAATTTATAGCCATTGAAGGCATCTTGTTTCACTCATTCACTGCCATGGACGTTTATATTCGTCAATTGGAATCCAACTGTTTACCGCCACTAGCAAGCATGCTTACAATTCAGCAAAAACAAAAAAAAAAAATCACTCAAAAAGTTTTCAATAAAGATATGCATAGATATCATACCTTATATTGCTATCATAACACTTACCTCAAAATCAGGTTGCTATTTTATTCCAATGTCATTGGTTAAAATGTTAGAAAGGCTTCAATACTTCACAAATACAAACGAGTGGATGATGTCATCTTCTCAAACTCTTTTTCCAAGGTTTTTGAGCCATGAGTGGTGACAGCAATGCAACGATGAGCTCACAAAGCAGTTTTACGGCACGCACTTACCTGAATAGATGACACACTTCATTTCGTACCGAACCATGACAGCAATACTTTTTTTTTTCTTTCAACAAAGCAGCCATATTCAAATGTATCTGATCTAACGATGGTCACTTTTTATGGTTATTAAAAATAATTTAAAAAAAAACATCAAGACCCCAATCTTGAGGCAGCTGGACGACTCCGTCGAGTGGTAGAAGAGGCGAAGTTGTACTTTTCACATTTTTCAAATCCATTGAAAAAAATCATTTACATGGACATTTTAGAACACATAAAAAATGTTTAAGCTCTTTTCAACACGAAGTACGCCTATTCAAATCATACTAATTTCATACTAGTCGAAGTTTCGGCACCCCCAGGCACCATTTTTTATATTCTGACAGTTGGCGCACTCCCTCTTCCTCGCACACACCTGGAAAAAAAGTCCAACCAAAGCTAATGAACAGGCACTGACGGCATTTGCGCTTCACGATGATGCAAACATGCCACGTAATGTCTTTTACTTGGATGTGAAAAAAACTATTGATCTATCCATCTGTATCCCTCCCCCCCTATCTATCCATTTTCTCCCCCTGACCACGTGCCTCTTCCTCCCCGCTCTCCAACCAATTACCGCCCCCACGCACTCCCACTCTTGCCTCTGCAGCTGTCGTCAGCGCTGATGTTTGATGCGGTGCACGTGGTGGTGGGGGCGGTGAGAGAACTCAACCGCAGCCAGGAAATCGGCGTGAAGCCGCTCAGCTGTACCTCGCCTCAGATCTGGCAACACGGGACCAGTCTTATGAACTACCTGCGCATGGTACGCACACGTGCAAACACGCATTCTCGTGACATACACGCGTTGCTTCATGTGGATGACGCCAAAGACCCTCCGCTTGTGGGCATTTTGCCAGATTTGATGGGAAAATCAATGCACCGCACGCCTTCGAACTTCAAAAGTCTTTGAGCTTGCAGCAAAACACAGATAGGACTGCACCAGCTACTTGTACCCGGCGGTTTGAAAGCATGAACTCGGAACCCGTTTAACGATGTCGCCAAACAAAAAAGCAGCACATGAACCATGTCACTGGCAAATTACCGTGTGGAATCTCAGCAGGTTATAGATGAGAAGCGTTCCTGGCATTTTTTTTGCTCCACAATAATGAGTGTGTCCATTTTAAAAAATCTTTTTTTTTTGTTTTTTTTTTTTTTTTTGAGAGGAAAAAGAAAAGGTCTGCCATGTTTGTGGCGTGTTTTCCAGATGGAAAACAGTAATGTCGTACAGTGGTACCTCCACTTATGAAATTAATACATTCTGGAAGAAATTTCTTAACAAGAAAATTTTGTAAGTAGAGACACGTTTTCCATGTAAATGCCCTAATCGGTTCCAAGCATCCCCAAAATTCCGACATAAATGTTTTCTGAAGCATAAAAATGCATCAAAATATGTAACAAATACGTTACAATTAGATTATTGCACAATAATTGAGAGTTATACATAATGTAAAAAACAATGAATAGAGTATAAAGTATAAAAATGATGCTCATTTCACTTTTAACTGCGTTCTCATCATTTTTTTGCCCTCTTTAGTCCATGTTCTCTCTCAAGTTGTTTTGGCCTGGCGTTTTGTAATGAACTGATCCACTTTTTCTGGGTGATTCACTTTTACGTAAATCTATTGGAACGCCTCATGGCCGGAGGGCTGAATGACGAGGACGCTGCATAGACACGCCGATCTATCTACACGCATAGACACATACGGTAGAGCCAATGAGATGCCAGGATGATGCTCGGTAATCCAGCCTGTATTTTTACCTTTCCTATCTTGAAATTTCTTTCGTAACAAGAGTCAATATTTTCCCGTTGAGACGTTTCGTAACTCGAAAATTTCGTATGAAGAGACGTTCGTAAGTAGAGTTACCACTGTACCTAACCTAATTTTTTTTCTCCTATTAAATCCTGGAGAGGACATGTTGCATGCTGTCATGATTATGATGATTTGTGACCACTTGTCTCTTGCTGGCTGATTAATGAGAATGAATGGCAGCTTCATTATCATCCTCATCTCATGTTGCATGTGGCCTCGGCCTCGTGTGTGTGTGTGTGTGTGTGTGTGTGTGTGTGTGTGTGTGTGTGTGTGTGTGTGTGTGTGTGTGTGTGTGTGTGAGAGAGAGAAAATGACGGCGTGTTGTCAAAGCGGCTGGAGCGCCATCCCTCATTGCCTGTCCCCCCCCACCAGCCAGACATCTGTCCATGTTAGTCAACATCACGGTGAGTTCCATCCTCGACATTCCTCATACAATTCACCGGCTTTGAAGTTCATACGCGGGAGGTGCGCCGCTCTATCTTCTCTGGTTACTTGTTTGTCATCGTCGAATCGAAGCTGCCGATCCATGTCCCGGATCCCTCGCTCCATGTTTGCTCTTTACTCTTTCATTCTCACAGGACGGGATAAAATATTGATCCTCGATGATGATAATTCTTCCCTTGATAAGCTATTGATGTACTGCGGGCAAATATTGATGCGTGTGTTAAGCTGCCATGACAAACACATTGTCTTGTTTACCTGAGTGAATTGAAATCCTGATCGTCACGATGATGTCTGCATTTGCAGTCATCCGAGAAGTTTGTGTATGGTTGGGGGGTGGAGGGTGTAAGACCACATGGGAGCCAAACAACAATTTAAGTTTTTCATTTCCAGTATAGCACAAGAATCAAAGTACAATTTGAGCTGTCTTGTGAACACAGCAAGCTATTAAGAATTGCTTCTAAATATAAAATTCATTATCGAGTCACATTGGGTCTCCTGCTGCTGGGTAGAATTCGTACACAATTCAAGTGAAAAATGAAGCCATTACTGAAATTACTTTAGTATCTTAAGTAATTTTCCATTTCTACTTGACTTCAATTTTTTCATTTCTCCCCATGTTGCTCGGCAGAGTTTGAGCAATAAAGGTAATTGTGCCACATTCGTCAGTGAAAAACAAAATTGGAGAAAAATAGCTTTTAACGATTCATTTGCTTTAATTGTGCAGTCATACAATGTTTACAATTCAAGTTTTTTTTCTTGTTCACATCCCTAAAATAAATAAAAGGAAAAGGCTCCAAAATTCATTTTCCTGGTTTCATCACATTCTTGCCACTTGTTGCTAGGCAGAATTCAGGGTGTGCATGCATTTCTACTATATTGATCAATGAAAAATAAAATCAAGGGGGCGAATGTTGCGCCTGCCTATTTTTTATTTCCCTTTATAAAAAAATTACTACGTAAAATTAAATCACTGCTCTGTATTAAATATAAACTTTTAAAAAACTAGCAAAAAAATGCCGTATTTTCACCAGTGGCTGAAAGAATGACGACATTTTCTTGGTTTTCCTTTCCTTTCCTCCCTCATGGTGTTGTTTCTGCCAGGTGGAGTACGACGGCCTGACGGGGCACGTTGAGTTCAACAGCAAAGGTCAGAGGACCAACTATACCCTGCGGATCCTGGAGAAACACCGAGGAGGCCACAAGGAGGTCAGACTGCTTTTTTTTTTTTTTTTGGGACACGCCGCCATCAGGTCACTGTGCACCGCCGGCTCTTTGGCGGGAATTTGCAGGTCACCTGTGTACTTTCCAAAATGCGACGGGAGTTGCGATATGTATAAGGGTCGGCAACCTTAAATACTTTGAGCCGTTAATTGAAAGAAAAAAAAAAAAAGAACACACACAGGGTGCCACAAAAGCCCTTTTGACAGATTTTTTTTTTTTATTATACGGGTATATATGAAAAAACTATCGTTTTGCCTATAGAGAGAGAGAGAGAGAGAGAGAGAGAAAGAGAGAGAGAGAGAGCGAGAGAGAGCGAGAGAGAGAGAGAGAGAGGGAGAGAGAGAGAGAGAGAGAGAGAGAGAGAGAGAGAGAGAGAGAGAGAGAGGTATGTATGTATGTATGTATGCAGGGAATGCAGGGAATGCAAAATGGTATTTCTGCGTGCAACAAAAAGGTTTTGAACTCTTAAAAAAGAAAATAAAGACACTTGGTTGAAGCTTACTTTCAAATAAAATAGTCTATCTATTGGAGTCTTCCTTGTATTCATGAAATTAAAGCCAAACTGTAATTATCGACCTGTAGTAAACCAAAAATGCCATTTTCTTCGGTGTTTCATCATTTTCTCCCGTCTGGAGCGTGTAGTCAGTTGTCAACTGGAACTAAAAAGGCTTATTATCAAGCGACAATGTGAAATATAGCAAAATAATTGGCAATTAGAATATTTGTTTGAACTGGTTAAGGTGATTTTTTTTTTTTTTTTTTTTTTTTTTTGTGGGGCACAGTATAGATGTTACACTGAAAAAAAAATATGGGATGTTGAATTTACTCCGTTTTATTCCCTTAAGTGGTTGTGCAAAATCAAATCATCTGGAAGCAGAACATTTTTTTAAATTGAGATGTAATCTACAAAAAAAAAAAAAATCTAGATCCCGAATATTTGACTTTGTGCATCTACTTGATGAAATTGAGTAAATTCCAACGGAACAAAAAAAAACTGTTTGATTTTAATGTTACGTGTTTGTGTTATTTGGAAAAATAAAGAAAGACGTCAGTCGAAATGAAATATTTATTAACCAATTGAATCAAATCTTTCGCAAGTTTGACATTGAAGGATGCCTGTAAATGGCCAAGATGATCTTCAAGTGGCTGCTTCAACCAACATTGTCCAAATTTCCAGACATGGCCGCGTGAGACTTTTTTGTGAGTCCACTCATGATCGACATGCCTCCAAAATTTCTGTTTCCAAGTGAAACCGGCTCACAGGCTGAATTTTCAGAAAATTCCAAGGGGAGTCCGCAGCGCCTATGAGACATAAATATTGACCAGGATGAAATTTGCCATTATTTGGCCTCAGAATAATATCGGTGAAGAAAGGAAGCAATTTTAAGTCTGCCTTTGAACCATCTCACTTCTGTCTGGACAAAAGGCCATCGCTAAGGCAATTTCATTACAACAAGGGGCTTTTTTTTTAAATTTTTTTTTTTTAATCATGCAACACTTTTGTAACGATTCCCTGCAGTTTCTTCATTTCACTAACGACTTTAGGGAGCTGTGGATGAGCTGGAGCCGCATTCAGGGTTGGCTAATAAATCAGAATAATCATCATCCACTCCTCGACTGGTGTGAATGTTTTTGTATTGTGTGTGTGTGTGTGTGTGTGTGTGTGTGTGTGTGTGTGTGTGTGTGTGTGTGTGTGTGTGCTTTTAAAGAGATAATCCCCATGACCTTCAACAAAAGAGGCTTGTTTTTTTGGGGTGGTAATATTTGATCTGCTGGCCCGGAGCCCAAAATATATTTGTCAAACCAGCGTGCCGCCAAACTGACCAGCCGTGTCCTTTCATAGGCGGGATTAAATGAAGCCCGAGCGCTCACACGGGTGCCGCGCTTCATTGACCGGATGAGGCCACTTTTCTCTCCCGCTCGATGGGGCCGCTCATTTACGCGGCGCCCCCGCGTTTAGCGCCAAATGCCAGCTGATAAAGCGCCGCTGTTCTTTAATTTGGCGTCTCACTTGTCACAATTAACGTTCCAGCTCGGCGGCAGGATGAAATGTCAGAGTGGGATGAACGGAACGAAAAACTGGGTTTTTCATTTTTTATGATTTTTCTTTTTTTTTTTTTTTTTTTTTTGCAAGGAATCGTGGAATGACCGGCTGATCTATCGCAAAAACAATGGCTTTTGTTCAACGCCGTTGCACACCGCCGCAGCCAGTTAGATTGTAATGGCACACTTATGTACTTAAGTGACTTGAGTGTCACATAAAAGTGAAATACGCCGAAAGACGCTAGTGGCGAGAAAGATATTGCAGCCCATGAATTGATTTGTTTGGAATGAAAGAATACCGCATTGCCGCATGTTCGGCGGAGGCCCCCCATTGGGGTCAATTAAAGCGATGCGCGCGTACTGTTTATGATGGCTGACAAAGTGGTTAGCATTGCAAAGGTTCTCTGTTTAATAGCCCAAGAGAGTCAACAAAGGCTACTAATGATGTTACACATTCGACAAGATTCGCAAATCACACCACAGTCCGACCTTTCGGCACGTTCATCTCGTCGGCCGGTGCGGCCGCGTTTGGAGAGCCCCGTTGTACGCTGTGAGCGCGTGCATTTCACGCACAAAAAGATGGAGGAGCGAGGAGTGAAGAGTTACTTTTTTTTCCCAAAAATGTTCAATTAACGTCATGATAACAACAGAAAAAAAAATGTGAACACCAGATGAGAAGCTAGTGGGGAATTTTTCGGGCTAGCACAAGTCAATGCACTTTCCGCAAATCATTCATGTCAAACAATTCTCTCAATTGAGGCCATCGATGGAATTGCTGGAATAAATCTTGCTTCTCCAAATATTTTGTCATCCTTGTTCACAGCCACTGATTCGTGTTCCTCGAATCACATGCCCCATTTTGGCAAAGTCGGGACTTGAAAGGACTGGCGTCCGTTTCCAAGTGTAGCAAGTGAAAAAGTGGTCAGAAACAGAAATACTCTAGCAAAGTGCAAACGCCCGAAGGGAATTTCGACTCAAATACAGGGACCAGAGTTGGAGTTGCTTGCTTACATCCGACCACTGCAATTTTTCTATCCAATATGTTCATGTTCCTAGAACACCAGCCAGCTTGACGCTCACAGAACCTTAAATCTCTTTGTCCTCACTTTGCTCCCCTGCGTGCGAACGTCCCCTTAATTTATTTTCAATGATTTCTCGGTGTCACATTGATATGGTGGCTGTAACCTTCTACAACTGAATCATATTTCTCTGGGGGGGGGCGAGCGTCGGTTTGCTGATGAAGCTTGAAGGACGTTTTCTCTCTCCCAAATCTCCACCGGTTAGATTGGCATCTGGTACTCCAACAACACCCTGGCAATGAACTCCACCAGCCTGGATATTAACGTGTCGGAGACGCTCGCCAACAAGACCCTCATCGTCACCACCATTCTGGTAAGGTCGCACCTTGCTTCAAGGGGGCTGCGACAAAGCGTGCGCGGTGTGTTTGTTTCTGTGTGTGTGTGTGTGTGTGTGTGTGTGTGTGTGTGTGTGTGTGTGTGTGTGTGTGTGTGTGTGTGTGTGTGTGTGTGTGTGTGTGTGTGGTGTCTTTTATGCTTTTCACTTACGGCTTCCGCTAGCGTTATCGGAACTGACAATATTGACAGAGTAATATTCTACAACATTCCCCTTGTGATTGTTTCGTGGATGTGGGGAACAAATGATAATAGAAGCCTCACTAAAATTAGCCTGTTCTGAAGGGGTGGTCGCATGTCATGGAAAAGAGCCCCTGCTGTGCTCCTTATAGAAGGTGAGTACAGCTTTTGTTACCGTAGCAACTTGGGGCACAGCTTCGGGGTTGCAAGAAAACTACGACTAGCCCAGAGTGTGAAGAAAGTATTTTCACTCACGGAGGCAGAACTTCGCAACCGCACCACTGAGCTGCACGAACACGTTCCCCCCCCCCCCCCCCCGCCACCCCCTCCCAATGTGTCGACAACGTCAATTGCAAATGCAATTTTTTGGTTTTGACATGATCGTGCTTCTCTGGATCCTGGCTCGGATTGACACCCGCTAGTGGCTTTGGATCTTCTCCCAGCCTACCTTTCAAGTTATGGGCAGAAAAGCTCCAATTTAGCCCCACAGTCACATTCCGCAGTCCTGCAGAATTGAGATGGGCTTTCTCACAGACAGGTTTTGGTTACTAGGCAGCGAACAAAAGAGTGACTTTGTGGTTTATTATCCTTGATGAGACCCGACTTGTTATTGGCACGTCAATTTTCCGTCATAAATTGAATAGAATCAAATCCATTCTGATTGTCATTTTGTCACAGTTCGTTTACAATCTCACATGTGCTCTTATTTTTCATTCTCAAATCATGTCTTATCCAGTGGCCTGACTGAAACACCCACCCCCACCCCCTTCCACTTTTGTCCGAATGAAATGCCCGATAAAAAAAGCTCAGTTCTGAGAACTGGAAATACTGTACTGAGAAATGCTTACAGGAATAAAAGAGTGACGGTACATTCAACGCCTCAGTACACCCACCTAGCAAGACACCCACTTTGTGTCAAGTAGAGCAGATATGAAAAGTCAACAGCATACGCGCGCACGCACACACACACACACACACACACACACACGCACACACACGCACACACACACACACACGCACAACCACATCATTTGTGCTTTCAGAAAGTAAATGTAGCTTACTAGCTCTCATTGTACAAGCAGCTGTCCCGATGTAAAAGTGTGGCAACGTCCGTTTGCTCGCTTTATTGGCAACGTTTCTTGCCAGTGTATTCCATGCCAACGGAGAGCCAATTCGTTTGCCTCTCAAAATGATGGTCAAATTGCACGAAAAATGCTTTTTTTTTTGCTTTGCTTACGTTTCCACCCCTATTAACGTTCACATTTCAAAGTCTCGATTTCACAAAATTCATTTTTCATTTGCCGATTTTGCTTAAACTTCATTATAATGACCAGATTTTCCCCACATAGTGAAAAGTCCTTCATGACGACGAACCATGGGAAGCTAACCGTCGCCGCGACCTTGCTCAGGAACAAAATGTACCGCCCGGGAGTCCCCTCCGTTGCTTAGCTACGCTACTGATCGACTCGTACAATTTGGGATTAGGAGGAACTGAAGGAAAATCCATCCATACATCCATTTTCCGATCCGCTTTATCCTCACAAGGGTCGCGGGGGGTGCTGGAGCCGATCCCAGCCATCTTCGGTCAGTGGGGGGGAAGACACCCTGAAACGGTTGCCAGCCAATCACAGGGCACGCAGAGACAACCAACCATCCACGCTCACACTCACACCTCACATAAGCTCAGTCGTGCTTATGCATGTTCCCTAGGAAGACCGCGCTGTATGAAAGAGACCTTGCCTACCATAGTTTATAGTAGCCATGGATTTAGGGGGGAAAAAAAAAGTGTCTTGTTGTTGCCGCATTAAATCAAATGCTCCCTGGAAAGCTTTGGCTTGCACTTGCGATGCGTGGCAGACAGAGTGCTTTGATAGCGTGTTTTGTAATGTGCTTACAAAGCACTGTGATCACTGTAACCGCACTTTGAACAGCTCTCGCCGGGGAGCCGCGGTGTTGACAGGGGTGCAGCTACCTTCGGTGACGTTTGCCACTGCAGTGTGCGTCCTTTACGGTCTGCGCCAGAGTTACTCCGGCAGCGCTCATTCAGATGAATTCCGACCATTCCCAGCGGTACCTCTTGCCCTCGATTCGGAGTGTGAAGTGCGTGTTGAGAATACAACACTTAAGAAAGAAAGAAAAAAAAAACGCACACACACACACACACACACACACACATTTAAAATAATTTCATCCAAATGTTGAGGCTAGCTCTTTGTCCTTGTTTTGCTATACGTGTTCTCCCGCAGCTTGTCCTCTCACTGCGGAAAAGACTACTACCTGTTTGGAATGGAAAGGAATTGATGTTTTAGCTCGCATTTGCAGCCAGAATGCATCAGCGCTGCCATTTTCTTTCCTTAAAAAAAAACAAAACAAAACAAAACAAAAGGCTAATTGGCGATTGGAATCGAGTCAGACTGTGAGGATCTCATGGGAGAGAGATGCAAATGTTGTCTGCGGCGACCCGACAAGCTCCAGACATATCTTGCAAATGCACACCACTACATCATCAGATTCATCGGCCCTTGAGCTTGAAAAAAATATTTGTTGGGGGTCACTGGAGGACGACACGAGCTGTATCAAATCTGCTGCATTCCCAAATGGAATAATTGCAAGTCGTATGAATTTGGATTTGTATTGTTGTGGTTTTACTTTGCAGCGGTTTAAAACTTGACTGCGTTATCAGAACAGTTATTTCCAAGGCTTATCAACGCATTTTATATGAAAGAAAATGGCAGCACGGTGAATTGGTGGTTAGCACAATAGCCTCGCAGTTGGGAGATTCTGGGTTCAAAAAATATTTCACGAAAAGACCAGAGTTTAAAAAGAAAAGAAAGCATTTTTAAAATCCAGTGATGTCTTGAGGTGTGAGCTTTTAAAGATGGAAGCAGTCATTCTTTTTGCTTTGACTTGCGGGCATAAACTGGAAAAATGCTGAGCAATTCTTCCAAAAGAGTTCTCAAGCTGTTTATTTGCTTCTCCCTTTTGAAGTTGACTGTCAAACACACACATTGTACTGTATATTCAGACCAACAACATACACTTGTTTTAATTTGGACTGTTTAGCTTAATGCTAACCAACCATAGACAGGCTAGGCTAATGAATAGCATCAGTGTCTGCGTGTTGTAAACCTTCAAGTAACTGATTATTCAACACAACACCAGTATTTGTTTTCAAATAGTAGTAGTATGAACAAAATAGTTGAGGAATTCGAAGGGCACAGTTGAACTATTCAGAGAAAGAATTTGTGACAGTCTTTAGCAACAATTAGCATTTCGCTATGCAGTGAACTGTGGTAGTGTGTGACTTAAATCGTTTCGCCTAGTCTAACAGTAGATACAGCTTGTAGCATCACAAGCCTAGAAAGTAACTTTTTTTGGGGTCAAATATACCCCAAAAAAGATTTTTGAATTTGGAAGAGACTGTAATGCGATGTGGGAGCTTCCACGAGCTCTCGTTTCTGTCTCTCTGGAGGATTACACAAAACCGTTCCCAAGTGGAAGTCGAATAGGGAAAGTAGCTGCCGAGGAACCCGCAGTCATTCTAAACAAGAGGGGAACGAAGAAAAACAAGCCCAGAGGAGTTTGATGTGATGAGACGCAGACGCCGCACAACAAAGAGCATTTGTGTGCCAACTGTGTGAAAGTTGCGGCTTTCCCCTCTAAATAAACTCCCATCTTATTTTCGTCAGGGAGTCAAATAAACACGAACAAACGTTGATTTGACTTTCTCCAGGATACAAGTGTAGGATGCCTGTCAGAGACGCTGCGCAAGTGATAACATTTGCAGGAAGAACATTTGCGAGGCCGTTTTAACATGCGGCGCGATTACAGGAGCAGTAACGGGTCACATTATGATGGAGCAACTCAAAGAGACAGATATAACAATGTTCACTGGCATATATTCTTTATCCTCTATGTAAATTTACTAACGTCATTGCATCTTACTGTGTCACTTAGAGTAGTCGTAGAAGTAGTGCTATTTTTCTTTGTTTGTCTGCATGATTGTATTAACTACCACCCAAATGGCCAAGGCAGGCACAGCGCAAGGAGCAGCTCAATAAATTGGATTACAGCATTGAATCAAGTTGCGCAAACTGTTTCATTCATTACATTCTGTTTAATTATGTCATTAGTCTGTTTTGATGGAAATTAATGACTCGCTGTGGCAACCCCTAAAAAGGGACAAGCCGAAAGGAGAAGAAGAAGAAGATTGTTGTGGTTTTACTTTGCAGCGGTTTAAAACTTGACTGCGTTATCAGAACAGTTATTTCCAAGGCTTATCAACGCATTTTATATGAAAGAAAATGGCAGCACGGTGAATTGGTGGTTAGCACAATAGCCTCGCAGTTGGGAGATTCTGGGTTCAAAAAATATTTCACGAAAAGACCAGAGTTTAAAAAGAAAAGAAAGCATTTTTAAAATCCAGTGATGTCTTGAGGTGTGAGCTTTTAAAGATGGAAGCAGTCATTCTTTTTGCTTTGACTTGCGGGCATAAACTGGAAAAATGCTGAGCAATTCTTCCAAAAGAGTTCTCAAGCTGTTTATTTGCTTCTCCCTTTTGAAGTTGACTGTCAAACACACACATTGTACTGTATATTCAGACCAACAACATACACTTGTTTTAATTTGGACTGTTTAGCTTAATGCTAACCAACCATAGACAGGCTAGGCTAATGAATAGCATCAGTGTCTGCGTGTTGTAAACCTTCAAGTAACTGATTATTCAACACAACACCAGTATTTGTTTTCAAATAGTAGTAGTATGAACAAAATAGTTGAGGAATTCGAAGGGCACAGTTGAACTATTCAGAGAAAGAATTTGTGACAGTCTTTAGCAACAATTAGCATTTCGCTATGCAGTGAACTGTGGTAGTGTGTGACTTAAATCGTTTCGCCTAGTCTAACAGTAGATACAGCTTGTAGCATCACAAGCCTAGAAAGTAACTTTTTTTGGGGTCAAATATACCCCAAAAAAGATTTTTGAATTTGGAAGAGACTGTAATGCGATGTGGGAGCTTCCACGAGCTCTCGTTTCTGTCTCTCTGGAGGATTACACAAAACCGTTCCCAAGTGGAAGTCGAATAGGGAAAGTAGCTGCCGAGGAACCCGCAGTCATTCTAAACAAGAGGGGAACGAAGAAAAACAAGCCCAGAGGAGTTTGATGTGATGAGACGCAGACGCCGCACAACAAAGAGCATTTGTGTGCCAACTGTGTGAAAGTTGCGGCTTTCCCCTCTAAATAAACTCCCATCTTATTTTCGTCAGGGAGTCAAATAAACACGAACAAACGTTGATTTGACTTTCTCCAGGATACAAGTGTAGGATGCCTGTCAGAGACGCTGCGCAAGTGATAACATTTGCAGGAAGAACATTTGCGAGGCCGTTTTAACATGCGGCGCGATTACAGGAGCAGTAACGGGTCACATTATGATGGAGCAACTCAAAGAGACAGATATAACAATGTTCACTGGCATATATTCTTTATCCTCTATGTAAATTTACTAACGTCATTGCATCTTACTGTGTCACTTAGAGTAGTCGTAGAAGTAGTGCTATTTTTCTTTGTTTGTCTGCATGATTGTATTAACTACCACCCAAATGGCCAAGGCAGGCACAGCGCAAGGAGCAGCTCAATAAATTGGATTACAGCATTGAATCAAGTTGCGCAAACTGTTTCATTCATTACATTCTGTTTAATTATGTCATTAGTCTGTTTTTGTAACAGACAATTTTATCCAGGACTATTTTTCCTTTATTAAAAAAAAAAAACGTCCGGAACAGATTAATGACTTTTCTATTTGTTTCAATGGGGAAAGCTGATTTGCCATTGTTTTGGGTATGATCACGGAACAAATTAAACGCAAAATGGCACGCTCTGGCCTCAGTTAACATCATCATGATTAAATGACCCGTTCCCGGCCGGTATTTGCCCCTTCACCAGTTGGACGCAACCCCTTCACATTGCCTGCCTTTCTCTTCTATTCAGGAAAACCCGTATGTGATGCGCAAAGACAACTACCAGGATTTCCAGGGCAACGACCAGTATGAGGGCTTCTGCGTGGACATGTTGAGGGAACTGGCGGACATCCTCAAGTTCTCCTTCAAGCTCAAGCTGGTGGATGACGGGCTGTACGGCGCCCCCGAGCCCAACGGCTCCTGGACGGGCATGGTGGGAGAGCTTATAAACAGGGTGAGTCCTTGTCCAGCGGAATCGCTAAAGACAACGGTCGGTCTCTGTTTGGATTCGGAAACCATTTTTACAATGCCCGGCCACAGTCTAGCGATAAATAAAGCAACGGAAGTAGCTATAAATTTTCAGAACAGCTTCATTGTTATGCAGTGCAGCGAGTAGAGAATTGCAGCAAACCGGCTAACAAACAAATGTGCCTGTCTGTGGCTGGGCTGTCGACCAAGATTTTGGAATGAGTGTCATATAATAACTAGATGGCGCAGTGACAGGTTATGGAATGTGATGGATGGATCTCCTTAAAGTGGAACTTTCTTCTTTCGTCGCATTTTTTTGCTCAACATCGGAGCTTGAGAAGACAAGTTCTAAGCGTTTTGTGTTTCATGGTGACATGTTGATCGATAGTTTCATGGAACAGTAAAAACTCCCAATTAGCGCATTTCGCATCGCCCATCTGTCTAGTTTACCTGTTTCTAAATTGGTGGCGATTGGTTGAAGTCCCTCGGAAGATTTCGTTCAGGTACTAACTTGGAATGGTCAGATCCAATCCACTGGATGCATATGAAGCCCGATATAAGCTAAACTTTGTGAATTGGTACGAGATAGTTTTTGTTAGTACCCGCCAGATCCAATCCATAAACCCAAACTGTATCATGCACTATATCACAGGTGTCAAATCAAGGCCCGGGGGCCAGATCTGGCCCTCCACGTCATATTATGTGGCCCGGGAAAGCAAATCATGTGTGTCAACTTCCATGGTCCTTGCTAAAATTTGTACAAGGATGTCAAATTGTCACGTGTAATAAATAAATTTTGTAATAATTTTGTTACCCTGTTTACACTCAACAAATAGTTGACTGATTTCAAAGCTAGTTATCCATCAATTTATTGTGTCCAAGTAATAATACGATTTCCTGATGAAACATGTATTCGGTTTCGCTGTCGTAACGGCCCTCTCGGGGAAGCCGTAACTCCAATGTGGCTCGCGACAAAAATGAGTTTGACACCCCTGCAAGTTTATATCCTCCACTTCATTTTGCGCGACATGCTAGCAGGCGTCAAGGTAAACAACAGCCAGCTTCCAATATCTGCTGTGACCAAATCTCTGAATTCACTTTGCAAAAGGTCTTGAAAACCAAATCGACACAGTGCCCTTGTGGAGCATCGCTTCTTCATTTGATGTTATTTTTTTTCTTCACTGTATGCATAAGGAGTTGATCACACACACACACACACACACACACACACACACACACACACACACAAAAACTCTGCTGTTCCTTCCTTCCTCTGTGGGTCGGGGGGGTCTGAAGAGGGGCAAGGGAGGGGGGGCTTATCTGGGACACACGCTGACTTAATAGTTCCTTCAAAGTCAGCGCTTACATGGCCCAAAATTGCCCATGTCGTTTTTTTTTTTTTTAAATAATATATTTCACCCCACCACGTTCACCCCTTGGAAGCCATTTTTGGGGTGCTCTCGGCGGGTTAATAAGAGCGCCCAATCGGCCTGTTCTGCTTAATTACCTTACGCCGGTGCACTTCAATTACCAGACTGCTGTCCCCCCCCCCCCCTGTGGGGTCTGCCACTCTGGCGCTCCCGCCAGCGCTCCACGCGCTACCATCAACCGACGCCAGTACTGCCTGATCACTCAGCTCTAATTAGCGACCCATGTTCATCAATTAGCTTCTAATGGAGGAGGAGGGTGGGGGAGAAAGCATGCAAGAGGGGCTACAGAGGTGGAAAAACCTGCCAAGCCTGTGCTTCCTCACAATTAGCCTCATTTTAGTTGATGGATAGAATTTTTTTTTTTTCTCCAAATGCCTATTCGAGTGCATTCGAGCACTTGTGGCTGCTCTGCCTCTGCCATCAAGTGCGTGCGGTTCTTGTTTTTGCACCCACCTGAAATACTTGTGTTGCTTCAATGCTTGCTCTCCATCCTCCATAGTTGATCTATTTTCATCCGTCCCCGTAGAAAGCCGACCTGGCCGTGGCGGGCTTCACCATCACGTCAGAGCGCGAGAAGGTGATCGACTTCTCCAAGCCCTTTATGACCTTGGGGATCAGCATCCTGTACAGGGTTCATCTGGTAAGGATTTTTTTAGGGGCACGTCTCATCCTGGATTTATTATTTCTTTTTTTTAATTTTTATTTTATTTTATATTATTTTTTTGGGCCATGCTTTTTAGCCTTTTGAAAGATTATAGGCCAGAGAAAACAGAAGGCAGCTTACCGTTTTATTTTTTTTTGTTTTGTTTTGTTTTTAAATGGCTCCCATCCCGATTTCCTGTTTTGGTAACAGGGGTCTCTTCAGGCAATTCAAAGTTGTGAAATGTCCAATATATGCATGTTGTGTTCATTGTGAACATAAATGTTTATGTTGAGGTTTTGGCAATGACAAAAGAGGAGTAGAGTCACACTGCAGTGTAAAGACATGAGCAACGAGTCACAATTTTACAAGGACATAATTTGTCAATTTTTTTTTCTTTTCTATTCTAGTCAAAGCACATCTCTGTCTTGTAAATGATGCATGTGCATATCTAGAATATTAGATTATATTCCGTTTTTCTTGGAACATTCCAGCCTCTGCATCAGCGCAGTCACGCAAAAACTGGCAGATCCTTATTTTTGTATCATTGCGAGGCTCGCTAAGCGTTTGCCAATTTGGCAGAGCAGTCGCCACCACACTGGTCGGGCCAGCACAGCAGCAGGAGTGTCTTGGAGATGTGCCGGGCAAAGGGACAATTTGGTGGCAGAAACTGATCACCTCGAAGTGAGGTTGCAGGGTAGACAACTGATCTAACGCGCCGTACTAGTATTTCATTCATAAATATGTGAACGGTGGGCAAAAAAACCCTGTGAATTGTATTGTGTTTTTCAAGTCACTGGGCGACATTAACACGGCAGATAACACGGGAAAAGTCTGCGCCATTCCCACTGTGGCGCAGCCTTCCCTTTTCTGTGACCAGCATCGGTCCAAACCCGCCTCTGCACAGTTCCGTTTTTTTTTTTTGTCTTTCACCGACTTTATTCTGGTCGGGTTTTGGTTTTGTCTTTTCAATTTGCCATACATAAGATCTTTTTTTTTTTTTTTAATCAATTTGAGTGCTGCGCTATTGCTACAGCAAGCGTAATTCGGCCTGAAAAGTCCCACGCTGTGTAACGCTCTGACTTAGCAGCTTTACATCTCTAATGAGCTTTGGAGCCGTAGACACTGCGAAACGGAGCACGTATGCATGGAGGCGTCGAACATGGTAGCGCCCCGCTGTGTTGCATGCTGGGAGTTTTCTCTCAAACTGCAGTGACCTGACCTCTTTTTGTACCTTGCCGTCTGTCTGTCCCACGTGGATTCCATTTCCTCTTCAGGGTCGTAAGCCAGGTTACTTCTCCTTCCTGGACCCTTTCTCGCCGGCCGTATGGCTCTTCATGCTGCTCGCCTATCTGGCTGTGAGCTGCGTGCTCTTCCTGGCTGCAAGGTCACTCACTGCATTACATTAGTGCCGGTCACTTGCCGGTGCATTTAGCCCGGTTGCGTCTATCGATCAAACGGCGGACTCCCGTCGTGACTTGCGTTCTCTCTACCAGGCTGAGCCCTTACGAGTGGTACAACCCTCACCCGTGTCTGCGAGAGCGCCGGGACATGCTGGAGAACCAGTACACGTTGGGCAACAGCTTGTGGTTCCCCGTCGGCGGCTTCATGCAGCAGGGATCCGAAATCATGCCCAGGGCCTTGTCCACCAGATGCGTCAGTGGAGTGTGGTGAGTCTTTTCATCAGGGCACCACGCAAACATAAGCTAACAACCGGGGTCTTAGATCAGAGGATGCTGTCAAATGAAAAAGAAGCTTGATATCAGTCCGCTTCTGATGCCTGATTGAATATTGAGCTTAGTTGGATGTTTCGTGAGGGTTTTATTATGATATGCGAGACAGAACAAAACTGACAAAGTCACTCGCACAAGGCTGCTCACACAAGGCAACTACTCGGGTGCATATCATTAGTCCTCTGAATAAACGCGCGCATTTTGATGACATGTAAATTGCAAACGGGGTGTAAAATCAAATTTCCCCTTGTGGGATATTAAAAGATTGTTCCTCTTCCTGTACCATGAATTATTAATCCGCCAATCCTCCAAACAAACTCGAGGACCAGGATTAGATTGTGAGAGCAGATCATATAAATTTCGTATTTCGGCGGACGTGCGGCTCAGTTCTCTTCCCTTGCCGCAAGATTCAGGACGAACAGATAAATACACGCTCAGAGCAAAACTCATCCGAGGGCATTCCTGAGGCTGTAGAAGGACTGGAAGTTATGTGCTGAGCTAATCAATGCCTGGAGCTGAAACAGATGTTTGGGACAAAGACAGGAGATGCGATGGAGGAACTCGGGCACCGGAAATTGATGCCATACAACTCACAATAAGGCAGCCAATCAGTGTTGAAGGGTACCTAGATGAAAAAAAAAGATTTTTAATGACGACAGTACACTACAGTAGACAGCTATTCATCTTTTTTTCCTTTTTTTTCCACACCAGTTACTGAAGTGGACAGCTAATTGGAAGCTGTTTTCTTCTATGCGTGAGTGTTGGGGTCACGCATGCACATCAGTCACTCCGGTGGACATCTGTTCAAAAGCCATTTAATATCCTGTAGGCTTTGATGTCAAAGTTGACATCAAGTTCCACTACACTACACACGCAGACACACGACACAATTATCACGGCAGTGGGAGTGTACCACTCCCACCGGAATGGCACGCTAGCAACCATTGTAGTGACTGAACCACAGCCTTGCCAGCAAAATTCTAGCCTTAGAAGAAAACTGTTTTTGAATACTGTCCACGAGAGTGACTGATGCGCATTTTGACATTCAGAAATTCTGGGGAATTTTCCCCCTGTCCCTTTAACGCTCGCTATTACTAACGGTAACTGCCCAAAGACTGGATATTCTCAATTGAACTATATAAGCGATACCAGAAATGATACCAATACCAATACCAATACCAAACGACACCTGTTCTTATACTCCCTTGGCCTCAATGGTCTTAACTGGATTCAAATACTTCCAAGGTCGTCAGACTCATTTTTGTCGCCGGCCACATCGTAGCTCGCTTTGAATTCAGAGGCCAGTAAACTCTTTGTTTAAATATTGTGGCGTTGATTGTGAAAGGCGGAGTGGTCACAAAAAAATGTTTGCAATAGCTTAAGGTTTTCAAAACTGACGGCAATTTGCGGTATTTGATCAGGAAGCATGACGTCGATGCGCATCATTTGCTTTTGTGCGTCCCATGAAACGATCTGGCGGGGCCAGATCTGAGCCCCGGGCTTCAAATTTGACACCTGTGAACTACTATGGTCGCCAAGAGTGCTCTCGATGTTAGCGTCACACATGCTACAAAGTACTGCACCGAATGTAACGCAGCATCGGAAATGTGTCGCGACTTTGTGTAAACGGCGCCACACTTGCAACGGCAGACGGCTGTTGTGCGCCGGGGCGCCACAACGAGAGGTGGTAAAAGAACGCTCAGTTGACAAAAAAAATAAAAAATAAAAAAAGCCAAGGGAAATCAAGTGGGAGGTCACAGCGGATACAATAAACAAACGGCTTTTGAAGAGCTTTCCACCATCGGCGACAGATGCACAATTGCGTCCTCCCGGAGAGATTTCAAAGGACGCAAATTAGCCACTTTGCGCACCCTGATTGCCGTTGCTCTCGCCCCGCCGTCCAGGTGGGCGTTCACCCTCATCATCATCTCGTCCTACACGGCCAACCTGGCCGCTTTCCTGACCGTGCAGAGGATGGAAGCCCCCATCGAGTCCCCCGACGACTTGGCCGACCAGACCAACATCGAGTACGGGACCATCCACGGCGGGAGCACCATGACTTTCTTCATGGTACGTGCGGGGGTTTTGGGTTTTGTTGTGTTTGTTACTCTCTTGGCGCTTTTGTCTAATGCGCCGTGACGCATTTTTGTCTTAATGTTTGTCCTCACATCTGCCACTTCATCTCCGTTGGCTGTGGCATGCATTTAGGTGGCTTTTGTTTGCTTACAAGAGCGCCTCGGGGCATCTGTGTTGGCATCTGTGTTTGTGTAACTCGAGCGTGCGTGCGCGTATGTTGTGTTTTTCCGTGTAGGTGCGTTTACATATGGGAATGTGAGTAGGTGAGCGTATTTGTTTATTTGTGAGGGAATGGCCATTAGCCAGTTTGTGAGCGTTTGTATTCCCTTGGTCTTGTTGATCTTTCGGTTGCAGTTGAGGGGGGGAGAAAAAAAAGCCCTGAATGAGGTGCGCTCCCAGCAAGCCCCGCCCACCCGTAGCGCAGCTGATGATGCATCGACCCGACGCCACCGCCGAATAATGTCTTCCCTCGAGTCACCCCGCTTTTTCTTGCCCCCGCCCGTCTAGTCGGCACTGATGTCACCACGTTATTATTCGCACTGGATTTTTCAGCCGCGCGCGCGTCTTTTCTTATCGCTTCATGTCTTTGCCTATCTGAGCCCGCGTGTCCTTTAGTCCTTTTGCCGATTCACAATGCTTCTGTTGTCACCCGCGTAGTTATATTTCGGTGACGTGCGATAATGCCTTCCTTCATCCCTCACGGAGATTGTGCAAGAATTAAGCAAAGCAAAAGACAACAAACACAGAGCAGTTCACTGAGAGTGAGGAGAGGTTGGCTTTAGTCCGGGACTGCCCACATGTCAATCATACGACTGGCACTTTCCAACCCAGGGAGCCAATTGGAGACGCCGGTGATAGTCAACACAACTCTTACAAAATAGGAAAAAAAAATAAGTTCACAAAAATATGTACATTTTTAATTATGTCTGTTTACTGTGTGATTCATTAGGGGTAAAATTAGATCGATTTTCACAAATGAATAATAAAATGCATTCAAGAAAAATCTATTTAATGAGGAATTCTGTTGTTTTCTTTTTTTAAATGTATCTAGTCTTTATTTCACCATGATATAAAATATATTAAAATACCAATTTTATTTATGGAATGGTAAACCACAAAATAAATCTTTTTTTTTTAACCAAAAAAAAAAGTTTCCTTACACGTACACTCAATAGTCAATCAAGGGAGCAATACAAATTACTTTTTTTTTTTTTTTTTAGCTCTTGTTCACTTTCTGTGTCCACTGTCTCCCCCCCGGCCCAACTCTTTTCCAATCCGGCCTGGCTCCCTCCGCAGAACTCTCGCTACCAGACGTACCAGCGCATGTGGAACTACATGAACTCCAAGCAGCCCAGCGTGTTCGTCAAGAGCACAGAGGAGGGCATCGCCCGCGTGGTCAATTCCAAGTACGCCTTCCTGATGGAGAGCACAATGAACGAGTACCACCGCGGCCTCAACTGCAACCTGACGCAGATCGGAGGCCTGCTGGACACCAAGGGATACGGCATCGGCATGCCGCTGGGTACGCGCTCACGCCGACGCTCTCTCCTTTGCGCCGCACTTGTTACGGCCTCGTGAGCAAAGTAGGTCAACTCATCGCCTGTGCGCTCCCGATCCATTTATCTCCACGCTCGGATCTTAATCAACAAAAAGAATCTTCAAGTGTGCCACGATATGTAATAGGCGCTGGTGTTTTTAATTAACACCGCGCCGCCAATTTATTTTTCCTTCTTAAGGTTTGAACATCATTGAGTCACGAAGAATTGTGTGTGCGTGTGCGTGTGTGTGTACGTGTGTGTGTGTGTGTTTCTATACTGTATATGTATAGTGCCCTCTAATCAACAGCTTCCCCACGATTTGTATTGTAAGCACGCCGCTTGGCCTATCAAGGCCACCATTTTTGTCAGCCGCTTTGGTCCGTCTGTAATGGTCTTCTTAATCTCCCAGGTTCGCCCTTTCGAGACGAGATCACGCTGGCCATCCTCCAGCTGCAGGAGAACAACAGGCTGGAGATCCTGAAGAGGAGGTGGTGGGAGGGGGGGCAGTGTCCCAAAGAGGAGGACCACCGGGCCAAAGGTCAGTCCACTCAAAAGGACTTTGTGCACTTCTCCTCAAGTCATGATCAGTTCGCCAGCATCGGGCCGAAACACCTCCCGTGTCACAATTTGATCAGTTTCTTCCGCAAATCTATACTGTTGGTCAATCCAAATGTCGTTTTTTTTTTAACAAATTATTGACCAATCTCAAGTGTTGAAAATGGCTTGGTCTCTCCCGAAAAGTGCTGATTTTGGTGGTACAAGTAGTCCGCCCGACGCCGGGCATATGTTGGATCATAAATATCGTAACCAAGCTTGTGCTTATAAAATGACAAAATGTTCTCAAACATTTTTTTTTTGAATTAGATTTTTTTTTCGTCATCCAGTGACCACATAATTATTATTTTTTTTAAATAGACGGGTTTTTTTTCCCCATTTTCTTCTAAAATGACAAGCATTTTCTCATGAAAATTTTCCCTCGTGAAATAATGATTCTCTCAAACGTATCAAACTTACTTGTACCACTAAAACTGTATTCTCATAAAATGTTGTTTTTTTGTCATCTCATCAAATGATGACCTTTTCATTTTTTGGGCCAGACAAATTACCGGTACCCCCTTCTTATTACTAATTTACGCTCATAAAATGACATTTTTTTACCTTTTGAAATGATGATCTTTTTTGACATATTAAGGCTTTACTCTTTTTACTTCTTTATTAATCTGTACAATTATAACTTTATTTTTGTCATTCAATATTATTTTTCCAGGAGCCTTTTTTTGGGGCACAACTGACATTTTTCTTTCAATATTAAAACTTCATTTTGGTAAATGTATGACTTTCTCTTGTAAAATTGCCCCTTAATTCTTGCAAGATTACTTTTCCCTCATTGCGTTTTTTCATTTCAAACGCATCGACCATTTTTTTTCTCGCAATAGTAACTTTATTCAAATTCTAACTTTCTCTCATAACATTTACTCTTTCCTGTAAATAACATGTTTTTCTTTTTTCCAGGCAAACTTACAACTTAGCAAAAAAAAAAAAAAAAACGTTTCTCACAAACATGATAAATGTCTTCGCAAAATATGATATACTTATTCTCACTGCATCATTAGAGATGGTTTTGTATATGTGTTTTTTTTCTCGTTATAACTCAATTATAACTGGAAATAAAGAATCCATCAATCTTGTCCAATCATGCATGACCGGTCGGCCAAAGGAAACCTAGCAGTTGTTTTCCCGTTGAGAATTTGGTGGCCCTTCTGTGTGTGTGTCAGGTCTTGGCATGGAGAACATCGGGGGCATCTTTGTGGTGCTCATCTGCGGCCTGATCATCGCCGTATTTGTGGCCATTATGGAGTTTGTATGGTCGACGCGCCGCTCGGCAGAGACCGATGAGGTATGCCCCCATACCTGTCCTCGCCGAACCCACAGACACACCCCAGTAGGTTCCCATGGCGACCCGCCAACCTTTTTTTCTCTTATGCGTGTCTGTGTGGGCGCGTGTGCTTGTTACGTGAGAGTGGTTCGATTGTTTTCCGGATTTGTCTCCCATTTGTGCATTCGTGCTCTACCACTTTATTTGGGGTTCATGTCTGTTCCGTGCATGCGAGAGAAGATATTGAAGTCGCGCAACCGACAGGTAGAAAAGGTGAAAGCACTAAAACCTGCCGAGATAGAAGGCTAACATGCTACCAACTAGGTAGGCGGACATTGGACAAGAGAGCAACCTGAGATTAGAAAATGCTGCGGCGGATGAGTAAAGGCCTTGTCACACTGCACTTGGTTTTCTTGGGGCTTGCCGCGGGGCAGCGCGCAAGGACGACGGTGTCCTGGTTGAAAGCTTGCCCATAAATGGAAATGCTTGCGTAAGCAGCAAGGCAGGAAGTAACAGGGAGGCTTTTCTTGCCGGCTGGTCTTTTGCTGTTGGCACTCTGAAATCACTCCGCCAGCCCCCTCTCCTACCGGATGCGCCTTCTGACGTCACCGTCACGCCGCTGTCGGAGTGAACGTTTCTCAACTCCGGGGCGCGTCGTGTGGCGGCAACGCCGCCCAATCCAAGTTTAGTCCACACGCCCTGGCACCACGTTGCTAAGTGCAGTGTGAAAAGCCGTTATCATTTAGCAACTTGAGTACACCAAACACTAAAAGGCGCAAGAAAGAAGAATTTGTGAGCCGACATTAAATGTTCCGACGTATCTCCTTTAAGAAGCTTTCCGTGAAGGGTTCCAAAACAGGGGATCCGGGGATCCCCCAGGGGTCTGTGAGCCGTAGCTTTGGGCTTTGCAACATTATTCAAATTCAAATGTTAATGTCATATCTTTTGAAGTTTGTATCTTTTTTCAAATTGTCAACTTTTAAATTCCTCTAGCATTTAAGGCACCACGTTTGTTGTTTAAATGGTGCAAGGATTATGTTGAGGGTCCTTGGACAAATGTCTCCCCTGTAAGGGGTTCCTGGACCCAAAAAGTTTGAGAACTCCTGCCACGTATTACGCTAGTATTCTTCGTCTTCCATCTTTTGGATTACTTCTTTTTGTTCTTCTTCTTCTTCTTCTTCTTCTTCTCCCCCATCTCACCGTGGCTGTCTCTCTCTGTCCGCCATGTTTGCCATCAGTCTGCGTTCTCTGACAAAGAGTACTGTTTCTGTTTATGTGAGCCCACATGACCTTTTCTTTTGAATGCTCTTTGTAAGTGTCGAAGTTTGGATGAGAAGCGTGCCTGTTGCTGGCCTGCCTGAGCGTCCATGTTGCCATGATGAAGTGTCCACGAACGAAAACAGCGGTCCTCAACTGCTCAGCTGCGGGTGGGGGGAGTACCGCTCCGGAGTGGCCCATTTGGTACCAGGGCCGCACAGAGAGACCAAATCAAAAGAAATATTTTATTGATGGGCAGAACGCGGTCGACGTTTTATTTTGAAAAACGGGCGCTTCCGCTTGAGTCTGTGTCCACGCGTCACACTCGATGTTCAACCCGAGCCCTAACGGCGTGTTTCTTGGCTATATATTGGTCGATCAATCATTATCTTGCCGTCAAAAATGCTTTCTCAGTTTTGCTTTTGTTATTCTCGTTTGAGGTGTCACTCATTTTATCCGCTTTTTGATTCGAATCCGGTGTCTTGGGTGAAACCAAACCCTGCGGTACTGCCGCTGACTGAAGACTGGAAAAATCTAGAAGCTGTTTTTTTTTCGGGTGAAAGAAGAGTCCACTCTTTCTTGTTGTTCGTTGCTTATAGCGTGACAGAAGACTTTATATTCTGCGGGCTGATCAAAATGCTCGCAAAGGGCTGGCATTGAATGAGTTAACTTATTCAGTGCCAGCCATTTTCAGACCCCGGCACATAAAAAAAAAAAAGACGTACCTGGGATGGAATGCCTGGTTTCTTAAAAAAAAAAAAATCATTCATAAAAGCAATAAACAACATCCTTGGCATTGAATGAGTTAAAACCCCCAAAAGACGTGTTTTTATTTTTATTATTATTTTCACGTATGCTCTCTGATGATTGGCTCATTTCGCAGTCTGTTTGCCCAGGTTTGCCCTGCCTCGGAAATGCGCTTGATGAGCAGATTCCATCGCTGTTTGCATTTCTTGGCAAATAGACAATATGTTCTCCACATTTTATGCTTAGTTTGTTTGTTTGTTTTTAATGATCAAATACATCCACATTGCGTTTATAGAATGTGTTTCAATTCGTTTTTCAAATAACAAAAGAATGATTGTTTTTATTTTATATCCGATCTCTCTAGATCGCAGATATTGATCTGGAACATAGGCTCCGTGATCAAAGAGCTTTCGTTATCATTTGACTCGTTTCTGTGCTGGTCCTTCAAAATAAAGCTTTGGTGAAACCAGTCCATGTTGCAAAAAAATACAACAAAAAAAAAAAGTTGGGGACCGCTGAACTAAACAGACATTGGGTGTTGCCGTCTCTCTGGATTGTAATAACTCTCTCTGCTCTTTGCAAACTCTTCCCATCCCGAAATCCATTTCCCCCTCATTTCCTTTCTTTCCACCGCCACTGCTCCCGCACCCTTTTTATTTTTTTGCATTGTGTCCATGTCCACCTTTTTTTCTCGCTTTTCCCATTCATGTGGCGTCTCGTTCTGCCGCCTGCCTACTCTTTGTCTTTCTTTTCCCTCCCTCTCGTCTTGACTTGACCACGCCTTCCCGTCCCTCGTCCTCGCCTCCCTTCCCGGGTGTCCTTTTAGGTGTCTGTCTGTCAGGAGATGATCACCGAGTTCCGAAACGCCGTTTCCTGTAAGAAGAGTGCCCGCCTTCGCCGCCGCCGCCCGCACAGCAGCTCGGCGGCGGCACTGCGCCACCCCAACCGCATCGCCCTGGGGGCCCCGCGGCCCTTGCGCCTGGTCCGAGAGATGCGCCTGAGCAACGGCAAACTCTACAGCGGAGCCGGCCCCCTCACCGGCGGGGCCGGAGGAGGCGGCGCGGGGCCGCCCGATTTGGGCCCGGGTCCCCAGCGGCTCCTCGAAGATCCCCTCGGAGCGAACGCCACCCCTCCTCCGCCGGCGCCCACCCCAGTGATGCTGCCCAGCCGCAGTTGCAGCCACGTGAGGATCTGCCAGGAGTGCCGCCGCATCCAGAGCCTGAGATCGGACAGCAGTTTGGGTTCGACCATCACGAGGATACCGCCGTCGTCGGCGCCCCTGCCGCGGCTGCCCCCGCCGCCACCGCCGTCCTCCTCCAACACGGACAGCGAGGGCGGAGGGGGTCCCAGTCCCAGGCGGCTGCACAGTCCCCCGCACCACACGGCCAGGCCCATCCCGCTTCAACAGAACCTGAACAAAGCGGACTTACTGGGGGACCAGGCCTAAGAGTGGAGCTGAGGTACTGCTTGATCCTGAAACGAGGAGTGTGGGGGTAGGGGGGGATCATAATTTAAAAAAAAAAAAAAAGGATGGGCAGATAAAGGAATTAAAAAAAACCACACAAGCTGGATACAAAAACACAGACATTTGAACCCACTATCCGGGTGACCTTGAAGCCTGCCTCGCATGCACTTTTGAATACTTCCGTTTGGACAAAAATGGAAGAAGAGCTCATGGCCAGACCATGCTTTTGACTCTTTCCCTTCTTTTAAGTGAGCGAGGCAATTTTTCCTGGTTTTTTTTTTTTTTTTTTGCAGACACTTCTCAGAAGCTAAACAATCCTGCTCGCTGGAGGACATGTTGTACCTGTATACCGTTTTAAACCAACCCGAAAGACTTCCTAAGGATTATTACATGTTTTATTCTTTTTTTTTTTTTGTCTTGTTTTGTTACCATTTGTTCAAAGTGGGAGTTCAATCAAAAACCTTTCTGTAACAATTGCGGTGGATTACGACGACGAGAAACCTGACGGCGACTCATTGTGTTTGAGAGTTTTGTGTCCCTCCCTTTGTGGCGATTTAGATGAATGGAAGTCAACATTGTGCAAAGAATTGCGAGAGTCCCGTCTGTCGTTCGTCCTTTTCGTAATTCGTGTGTGTGTGTGTGTGTGTGCGTGTGTGTGTGTGTGTGTGTGTGTGAGGATTCAAAGTGAGCAGAACCCGTGGTGAGCAGCACAGCACCCTTCTATTACAGTCTTGCGGGAGGCTTTCAAATGGGAAATGAATGTCCCTCGTTATCCCCAGGAGATAGAAGGTATGGCAGAAAGAAGCTTTCAAAAAAAAAAAAAAAAAGCCGTGAGGAGTTTGTTCTCTGCGATTAAATGGGTCCTGATCCTTTAATTCTGGGCATCTTTTTAAAGGGGTTTGTTAATGCGCCAGCAAGCTGTGACTGCAGCTACAGACTTGGCTGTCCGGCACGAAGGCCTTGTGCCAGAATGATAGACTCGACACAGCCTCGTCAATACGGTCTCAAGCTTTTGATTGCCTAATTACTCCCCTCGCCTGGCCGAGGGGGGAGCACTTCGGAACGGAGGACTTTGATGGCATACCAATGACAGGACTGAGAGGAAATACATGTTTTGGCTTGGGTAAAACGCCAATCTTTTTTTTTTTTAATTGCAAGTCGTTAATGTTAAGCGGTGCTGTCGTTTCGAGCAAAACACTCAAGCAGTCGATGCGCTTGAAAGTTTGCGACGCCGACGTGAACACTCGGTCGATGGTTCAAAGCAGAACAGCCTTTTTCACCAATCCAGATCATGAAAATCCATTTGCTTGGCTTGACTTTCACTCGCGGTGACATTTTTTATTTATTTATTTTTTTTTACATCTGTGAATGTCCATTTTTTTTCTTTTGCTAAATAGACGTGCAGTTGCCATGGTCACCGGATTCACTGCTCTGGTCACCCTTTTTTTATTAAATTGGGGTGAACTACAAAAACAAAAAACTATGAATGGTTTAAGTGACAAAAGACGCTAACCTCTCATAATCTTCGTCTTGCTAACCTAACCTGAACCACCCTTTAAACCCTAAACCACCTGAGCACCACGATGCTAAACCACAAACACTAATCACCAAAAGCCCTTTAAATTTGTCCCTCAACCCCGAAAACGCATCCACATGACCACCAACTCCCTAAACCTCAACGCATAATCGTCAGACTCCTTCAACCTTTACTGCCTAACCCCTAAAATTTTCGGCCAAACCACCTGACCACCGACTCTGACCAATCCCCCTTATCATTTAACCCCGAACGTCAATTCACCACCTTAATAATGACCTCCAAAATCTTCCCCAAATTCGCCTAAACCTTAATCATTTGACCACTAAGACAGGGGATCTCGCTATTATTTGTCAATTGTGGGCATGTGAAGCCCTTTGAGACTCTTTTGGGTATATTTGAATGAATATGGATAAAACATTTAAGTTCAGTCACGTCGAGTTCAGTGGAAACGTCGATGTCTGGTTCGTCCTTCAGTTCAGTCCTTTTAGTAGCTCCCGAGATATTCCTTGCTGATTGCCCAGAGGAAACTAAATGAAGGCAATTGTTGGATGTTGTAAAATTTCCCGGCTCGCTTGTTAGGCGTCAGTGTTCGTTTGTGTCCCGTCTTTGAAGTTGCGAACGCTGTAACACCAGTAGTTTTTTTTTTTTCGAGCAATTTCCAATGACACTATGAGCGATTCGGTTAAGTAGGGGTCGGGGGGTACACACGTACTGACAATCGCAGCAAATTTCAGCTTTTTTTTTTCCATCCTCACAACAAAAGCCTGTTTTGTATTTACGATCTCAAAACCTTCTGCTTGCAGTCAGTCAACATTAAGTTGAGCCGAGCCACGGACTCCGCAATTGACATACGCTAACAGTTAGCCTCGCTTATTTTATTCTTCTTCTTCTACTAATACTACAATTACTCTTCTTTGTATTTTGGTTCCGTTTGGATGCCCTATGTGGCTCTCTGCTGCGTCATGCAGGTCAGTCTTGGTACTACAACAATCGTCAATTCTGTGCGTTGTGTGCTGTCTTACTCATTGTCAGTACAACACTCGCTAACAGTTTAAAGTACATCGTGTCGGTCTCAAGCATCAGCCAAACACCATTCAGTGCAACAGGTGATGTTAAAAAAAGGAAAGCAACAAAATAAACCATTACCCAGACCTCTCAGCAATCAAACATGTTGTGTCCAAGAGCATTTTGCCCACACTGTGTTCATTGTGTAGGTTTGCTGAGTTTTTTTTTTCTTTCTTTCCATTTCTGTGCCTGCTTCAAACAAACACCATTATGAGGTTATCAATAAGATCAGACATCCTGTCTTTGAACTACGGTCTCGGTCTGAAAATCAACGGAAAGGGAGGGTCACAAAACAAAAAGGTTGTCTCAAGTGGTCGCACACGCCAAAAGCAGGGGTCAGTGGGACTCTTGTTTTTGTTCCATTCTTTTGGACGGACCTGGGTTTATTTTTTTCATATTTCTATACTAGTGCTAAATGGATTATTGAAAATGTCATAAATATTCTGATTACATTGTTGCTATTATTCCTGTTGCTGAACATGAGCATCTTTATTGTGCGTGTGGGTGACGGCAGCAGGGGGGAGGAGGGAGTCCGGTCACCTTGTTGTGCAACTCTCATAGACAGATCAAACTTGTTTTGGAATAAAAACATTCAAACCGACGCCAGCGCCACACGTCTTGTCACTGGGAAGAGGGTCCCCCTGTATTTGTTGTACAGGTTGTATCATTTCGAATAAAAAGTGGCACAACTTGAATCGTTTGTGAAACAAAAATATCACCCCAAGCAGTGCAGGGTTTAACTTGCCCCTCATTGTTACGAAAAGAGAACGAAGAGACACAGGCTGAATCAAGTTGTACTGTTTTCCAGTAAAAATCCCGAAAACTGAAAGAAAAACATACAAAAATAGTAATCATTTATTGAGGGTGGGGAAATCACAAATTGTTACTTTTTTTAGTGAATTGTTTTCGTGATGGTGAAGTAAAAAAATCATTTATAATTGTTATTATCATTATTATTATTTGACTCAATGGAAATATCTTGAAATTGGTGAAAAATGGGGGGGGGGGGGAGAGGAAGTCACGCGCACATGTTGAGTGACGCTTGTGCGCGCGCGTTCTGGTATTTTTACTTGTGCAACAGCGACACTGTGCGGTCAAGTGGCGATCTAACCCACACGCGGGGCTAGGGACATTTCATTCTGTACCTTGACACAGAAAGACAGATTGACAGACAGACACTACGCTCCACTTGGCTACAGCTAATGACGACACTCACAAGGCCACGCCCTTTAAAGCACACATCCAACACAAAAACGCAACGACCTATGTGGCTCTCTGCTGCGCAATGCAGGTCAGTCTTGATACTACAACAATCGTCAATTCTATGCGTTGTGTGCTGTTTTATTCATTGTCAGTACAACACTCGCTAACAGGTTAAAGTACATCATGTCGGTCTCAAGCATCAGCCAAACACCATTCAGTGCAACAGGTGATGTTAAAAAAAGGAAAGCAACAAAATAAACCATTACCCAGACCTCTCAGCAATCAAACGTGTTGTGTCCAAGAGCATTTTGCCCACACTGTGTTCATTGTGTAGGTTTGCTGAGTTTTTTTTTTCTTTCTTTCCATTTCTGTGCCTGCTTCAAACAAACACCATTATGAGGTTATCAATAAGATCAGACATCCTGTCTTTGAACTACAGTCTCGGTCTGAAAATCAACGGAAAGGGAGGGTCACAAAACAAAAAGGTTGTCTCAAGTGGTCGCACACGCAAAAAGCAGGGGTCAGTGGGACTCTTGTTTTTGTTCCATTCTTTTGGACGGACCTGGGTTTATTTTTTTCATATTTCTATACTAGTGCTAAATGGATTATTGAAAATGTCATAAATATTCTGATTACATTGTTGCTATTATTCCTGTTGCTGAACATGAGCATCTTTATTGTGCGTGTGGGTGACGGCAGCAGGGGGGAGGAGGGAGTCCGGTCACCTTGTTGTGCAACTCTCATAGACAGATCAAACTTGTTTTGGAATAAAAACATTCAAACCGACGCCAGCGCCACACGTCTTGTCACTGGGAAGAGGGTCCCCCTGTATTTGTTGTACAGGTTGTATCATTTCGAATAAAAAGTGGCACAACTTGAATCGTTTGTGAAACAAAAATATCACCCCAAGCAGTGCAGGGTTTAACTTGCCCCTCATTGTTACGAAAAGAGAACGAAGAGACACAGGCTGAATCAAGTTGTACTGTTTTCCAGTAAAAATCCCGAAAACTGAAAGTAAAACATACAAAAATAGTAATCATTTATTGAGGGTGGGGAAATCACAAATTGTTACTTTTTTTAGTGAATTGTTTTCGTGATGGTGAAGTAAAAAAATCATTTATAATTGTTATTATCATTATTATTATTTTTCATTCTGTACCTTGACACAGAAAGACAGATTGACAGACAGACACTACGCTCCACTTGGCTACAGCTAATGACGACACTCACAAGGCCACGCCCTTTAAAGCACACATCCAACACAAAAACGCAACGTCCACACGGTGATTCCACTTTATAAAACAAGTCGATTTTTCTTTACATTCTCTTTTTGTGATGCGTTTATCCCGTATCGTGCGCTTTCCCTTTCCACATGACATGAAGCAACATTTAATAACAGTTTTAATTATTTAAAAATAAGGGGGGTAGGGTTCTCTTGCCTTCAACTCTTCTCCGCTCCACTGGGATGATTTTCCTCACGCCAATTGTTTTTTCCAGCCTCTACCTCATACACGTGCAGTTAGCGTAGAAGCCTCGAATCGAAGAAAAACTTACTAACCCATTTTTCGGATGTATTTCGGTGCCCCAGCCAATTGTTTGTGTTTCCCTCCTGGTAAATCCGCCCCCTGTTGATGCCAGAAGGAGTCATTCAAAAGGGGCCGCCTCCATTTCAGCACTTGGACGCCCAATTACGAGAGTTGTGTGAAGACAGCCGCTAAAGTACCTGTAGCAATACGGCGCGTTTATTAAAAGGCCCTTCTCAGCAGTGGCTCCGCTGTTAAGCCCCCCCCCCCTCCCGACGCCTGAGGGAAAAGCGCCGCTAAATAATTCTCTGGCTGGCTAAAAGAGCCGCAGGTGTCGAGCAAGCTAATCAGGTCAGTGATGCAAAGCCTTTCATTTGCTTCCAATCAGCTTGTTGCCCCGCGTGTAAATCGCTGGTGTAAAAAGGCTTGACGGTGGGGAGAAACAAGTCTTGTGGCATTTGGCGCAGTCGGGGAGAGGGGACTTTTATGCAGATGTGTTTCTGCAACGTAATCCGTTCTGTTATTCTTCGTCTATTTGAAATGTGGCGTTAATTTATTCAAGCGAATGACATGCAGAAATGAAAGGTGGAACAATTTAATTTCGACAATCATCAACTAGTAGTAAAAGTCTCTTTTCCACGAGGTGTGGGGGGGGGGGGAATGCATCAATTTGAGGTGTGGTATCTAGTTATTCAAGCGAATGACACACACAATCAATAATTCAGAAAATAATGGAGATAAGCAGAAATGAAAATGCCCCCCCCCCCCCCGCCCTCCACTCGTACAAAACCACACAAAACAAAGTAGGAAGAACAGATAACAGGAGCTGATGTAAAGGTAGCCACTCTCGCACTCCCCCCCCCCCAAAAAAAACAACAACATTATGGAAACATCTTTCTTGCGTGCATAATAAGCACATTTATTTTAGACAAGATTAATAAGTGCAGCGTTGGTGCAACTGATATTCACAGTCGCACTTATGAATCCTTGAGCCAAATGCAATGTTGGCAGGACTGTAGATTGTTCAAATTCTTTACTTGTGTCTCCATGGCAACACTTCCTGCAAAGTCTTTTTAATAAAGATCCTCTGTCCTAAGCCGACTCATCGATTCTAGGAGAGAGAGAGTGGGGGAGGGGGGAGGAAAAAAAACCCAGACAATCTTATTGATGAATCTTTTTTTTAAAAGACATTCGTAGCCTGACTGTGTTTTTTTAGGCTAAATTCGAGACCCCACGGCAGCCTGGCCTCGATGTTGGACGACAATCTTTTCAGATGCGAATGCGTCCATGGATTTTATGTCCCATCATGCACATCTTTCAGGTCCCCACGTGAATCGCATCAATGTGATCTCCATGTCGAAAATGGAATATTGAATTGCTGTCAGCTGATTTAATGTGATGATATTTTGCTCAAGGTGTGTTACATCCATTCCTAAAAGACAACAATGTCATTTGTGTCTGTGGGTGGCGTGTTTAAAGGAGACAATTATTACAGCTTTGCCCCAAGAGAGTCTGCTAGCTTAATGCTAACACATAATGCAAAAAGCTATTGATGGGCTAGCGAATGGCATCGGCGGTGTTACGACCCTTTAAGCAATGTTTACTGTATTATCTTTCTCCTCGGTAAAAAATGACGAATATTTTTGAAGCATTTAGTCGTGAAAGTCGTCTTTGTGTACTATGTATGTCCCTTAATGGCAACAATAATAACGATACGATTAACAGGCAGAACATTTTAACATGTTTGAAATTCATTATCTTTGTCTTAATTAGTACGTTTTTGTGTGTACAGATGAAAAACAAAACAAAAAAAAACAATCAGCCTTTTTGCCAACTTTAAAACCGCCAGTATCGGACGATGAAGTCAGCCATAGTTCTAACTCACCTGGTTATCTTGTAGTAGGCTACATAAACCACCTGAGGCTGGTTGCACTCAGCAGCATCACTGAAACCGACCAGCAGGGGGTGATGCAGGACGCTTCATGACGTCAGCAAAAGAGCAACAATGGCACGCGTCAGGCAAGAAAATAACACATTTTCACAAGAGTTGCTCCAAATGGATTGGTACCTCTCAGGTACAGATTGGTGGACTTTTCACGGCGAGTCACCGCATTTCTCGCCGTACACGTGTAGTTGCCCTCGCTTTGCTCATCCAGGTGCTGGACCACATACGAGGAGCCGTTGACGCTGGTGCCGTTGAACTCCCAGCCAAAGTCGGCCGGCGGCAAAGAGTGCGCCATGCAACGCAGCGTCACCGTGCGGCCCGGCGGGGCCGCCGAGGGTCCCACAATTGATACGTTATACGGTCCAACTGCACAAAAAAAAAGAGATGATCACATTCGATAGCGCTCATCCTGTTTGTGGCTGTCCCACGCTATTGACACGAAAACGGCTACAGCTATACAATCTAAGACAGGAGTAGGCAACCTTAGGGCTAGGGTTTCAAATTAGGGTTTTAGATTTGGGTTGGGTTTCAAAAGTAGGGTTTGAAACTAGGGGGAGGGTTTCACAATTGGGTTTCAAACTCAGAATGGAGATTCAAATTATTATTTCAAACTAGGAAAAAGGTTTTAAACTAGGGTTAGGATTTCAAAGTCGGTTTTCAAACCAGGGTTTAGGTTTCAAATTAAGTTTTCGAACGAGGTTTCAGGTTTCTAAGTAGGGTTTTAAACTAGTGTTAAGGGTTTAAAGTAGGCTTTTAAACTTGGCTTAGGGTTTCAAATCGGGTTAGGGTTTCAAAGGCGGATTTTCAACACAGGTTCAGGTTTCAGATGATGGTTTTCAACTAGGGTTAGGTTTTCAAACTCGATTTAGCGTTTCAAAATAGGATTTTAAACTCAGGGTAGGATTTTAAACTCTGGTTATCTTTTCAGAATTGGGTTTTAAACTCGGGTTAGGGTTTCAAATTGGCTTTTAAAAGCAGGGTCATGCACAGGGTGGTACCTGTGATTGATGGGCATCAAGTAAGGCAAAGTTCCGTCAAGAAACGATTTCCCCTGGGGGGCATCGTTGGAGGCGGTGGGACGTACTCACAGTTGACGGTGAGGTTGAAGGCAGCCGTGGCGGAGCTGATGGGGTTGCTGACGCGACAGCGGTAGACGCCGCCGTCGTGGCTACGGACGGGTTGAATGGAGACGGTCACATTGTCTGGAGACAAGGTGACGGTGGGCCCGGCACGGACGGGGCGCCCGTCCTTGGTCCACGCTCGGACGCGGACCGAGCCCGAGGCCTCGCACGTGACGCTGGCCGAGTGCTGGTCTTCGATCAGGGTGGTTTCCGGACCTCGCACGGTCACGCCCGAGACCGGCACTGGCGGAACACAGCAAATGATGCTTTTAAAGGGGCGGGGACTCTCCAACTTTTTGAGTCCAAGGACCCTTTACGCAGGACGACCTTGCCCAGCAGTAAGATCTACATACCCCTTGATGCCACAGCCATTAAAAAGTCTATTTTATGTTTTTATCTGTTATTTTTATGTAATATGTTACCATTAAAAAAATGACATTGTTTTGAAGAAAAGAAAAAAAGGCATCACATCACATGAGATTAAAGTCGAATTTTATTTTGGGGGAGAAAGTCTGAATACTATGCCATAAAGTGTTTAAAAGTGTTTTTGAGGGTATAAAAGTCATATTGGTCGCAGTTATATTTTTTAAGAGGAAAGATATACTTTGTCGGGAAATAAAATCATAATCGTAGAAATATAAAATCATATTTTTCCAAGATTCTGCCCTAAAAATGAAGTTGCCCCCAAAAATTCATATGATATCGTCATATTTTTCAAAGAATAAAAAAAAAAAAAGGCTAAACCCTTAAAAGGGGAAAAATATTTTGTTGGGATAAAACTTGTAACCTGACTGCAAGAATCATGTCATTTTTCCAAGTTAAAGTTATAATATGCCATAAGAATAAAAAAGTTGCCTATTTTTGAATAAAAAAAAAGTCAAATGGTACAATTTCAGTCATATTTTGGGAAGAAAAAAGTAATCTTTAAAAGAGCAAAAATATTTCTTGAGACAAAAAATTGTAATCTTACAAGAATAGTCACATTTTTCCAAATTAAGGTCAAAATATTTTTCCCCCAAAAAAGAATAATAAAAAATCGGAAAGGTACGATATCACTATTTTTTTGAAGGAAAAAGGTTGTAACCTTTCAAAAAGCAAAGATGTACTTTGTCAAAGGTAAATGTCAAAGTCTGACGAGACTAAAGTTGTATTTTTCCCCGAGATGAAGTCGCCTCATTTTGAGAAAAAAGTTACAATACAGTATTACGATATTTTTAAGAAAAATAAATCGGAACCCGGACAAGAGCACAGCATTGGCACAGTCAAGTTGGCGGTAAGCTTTTTCTTCGCCCAACATCCAACCCACCGTAAACGTTGAGCACGATCTTGCCCTGTTTCTGGCTCTCCCCCTGCGGTATGACGGTGACCACGTACTCCCCGCTGTCAGCCGCCGTCAGCCCCCTGAGCTGCAGGCTCCCGGTGGTCCGGTCCAGGCTGATCCGGTTGCCGTAACCGTCCCCGGGCAGGTCTCCGTTGGCAGTGGAGGTGATGACGTTGGTGCCTTTGAAGGTCCAGCTGACAGAGAGGAAGGGGCGCTCGGGAGGTCGCAGGGCGGTGCTGAAGGTCACGCTGCCGGACACGGCGCCGCTCAACGGGCCCGGCGGGAGCACGTTCTGCGCCGTGCACGCGCCTGACGTAACCAGATAAGCGCATGACTACAAGTACAGATACTTAGCAACAGATATGATTACAATTAAAAAAAAAAAAAAAAAAGCATTTTCAAAACAAGAAAAAAAACTATGAATTTACCAACCAGCTCCAAAAACAAATTCTAACAAAAATGGGGCTTGGGTCTTCCTGTGTGGAGTTGACAAAATCTACCCATGCCTGCGTGGGTTTTTATGGATAAATGGATGGGTGATTTTTGTATTGTTGAACACCAAAAGCTGGTTCGTTTGAGTATAAACATTTTTCACCAACAATTTTCTTAAATAAACCCATGGATGGGGAATGTCTTAAATCGCCGGATATATTGCATCATGGTCGTTTCATGATATCAATCAATCAAATCGAGACCTCAACTGCACTTTTTTTTTTTCTTGAGTCCATTTTTAGGTTGATAGAAGTTTAAAAAAGTCTATTTAGACAATGTAAGGAGAAGAAAGGTGTCAGTTTTAAAATGTGCAGAGTAAAAGTTATGTGCAAATCATCACTCCCGTCAAGCGGATAAGATAAGATATCCATTATTTGTCCCACACTGGGGAAATTTACATGAACGATATACTTCGGCACATCATTAAAATACATCATCTTTGTTATTTCCCAGAACCGCAGAAAAGGAAGGAAGGGTGTCAGGAGAGCACCTGAAGGGGAAGTGTACCTGCTAGAATCAAGACGATGGAGGCGCTCCACAGCAGCCTGCTGTCCATGGCCATGCGGCACGTCAAGTCACAAACAAGAGGAGGCCGCTCGCTTCCTCCTCTTTTATGCTCAACAAGCCCTCCACCCCCTTCTCATGAAAACCCAGCAAAGACAACACAAGTTCGAGGGGACAAACAACACACACACCGAAGAGAAACATTGAAAAACACCCAGGATAGGCGCCCTCGAGGACCGGAGTTGGTGAACCCCTGGTTTACACGGCTTCTGGCTTCAAACATGCATGTTCAATTCACTGGAGAGGTGAATTTGCCTTGAGGTGTGAACGCTTGTTGCTTGCCTCCATTATAAGTGCTCGGTGATTGAAAGGCGACCAATCAAGGGTGTACCCGCAAAAAGTCCACTGGGATCGACTCCAGCTCACCCAATAGCGAAGTTTTTTTTTTTTTTTTTTTTTACAGGTTTTTAAAGTTCACAAGAATGAACAAAATCGCAAACTAAAACAAAAATGTAAACAAAGAATTTTCAGTCATGCCAAAGCAAGACAAAGACAAAAATCCTCTTTAAAACTCACTTATGTTCAGAAAGCTAACGCTGTAAAGTAACTCTAAATATCCTTCATTTTCATCTTTGTCAGTTAATATCGTATTTTTCTTTGGTATTGCTGTACCTTTCTACAAAATAAGGGACGCCAAGCAGTTGTTTGAGAAAGCAGTTAACTGTACTTTATCAGTACCTTTTATTTTTCTAATATTGCATTTGACAAATACTATTTGAAACAAGACCAAACAAAACGAACCTAAAACGAAGCGTTTTCGACAAAGTAAAAACGAACCAACGTGCTCGGAAATGTACCGGTAATTCAAACACACTGAATTGAAAAAACAAAAGTCAAAACAAAACAAGAACCAACTCTAATGCAAAATCCAAAGCGATTGTAACCTGCCTGACACAAGATGTCAAGTTATTTTTTTCCGCTATTTTAGTTAATGAATAGGAGGTGACGCAGACGGCGTCACATTTCAGGAGCTTTGCGAGTGTTTGCGCATCCGTTTTACGAGCTTTCGGCGAAGTCGAGTTTGTTTGAGCAGCAGCCGTTTCGGTTCTTGACGGGAGGGCGATCAAAGACTTGATGGAGACACTCAAGCTTCCTCTGTGAGCATAAGTCATTATGGAAGGAATTTCAGGCCAATGAATCGCAAATGGGGCCACGTGAATCAAGTGGTACACAGCAAGGTTTAGGCGCCTGAAACTGCGCCTTGGGATGACATTATTTTTTTTAAATAACAATGCGTAACAATGAGTCTCTGTCCTCGACACTGGAGCGCAAATACAAAGTGACCTAACAGTTTCAGGACCCCGCCTGCTTGAAGGGATGTTGTCTTCATTCCCACAATTGTCATATTTTTTGCTTTTATTTCCATTAAGCTGTTTAGTCATGGTGCGCTGATATATTTTTTTTTTGGGGGCGGGGGTTCTTCGTGACTGAAAACGTGCAACATTTGTAAGGCACATTTAGCTAAGTAGAAAGCTTTGTTTTTTTTTTAATAGGCGCCAAATGTGGCCACCCAAAAGTCACAGAGTAGCGTTCTCTTGAAAGTTACAAGAAAAAAAATTGTGTCATCAATGACCAACATAAAAGTCGTTGTACACTTGTAGGACGTGTACACAGGACGTTTGAAAAAAATCTCACGGGTAAATCGAACAGGAAGTCAGCCATTTTGGTTTGAAGCAGCCATATCAAAGTGGGGTACGTGGGCTCCCTCTAGTGGTACAAAAAAGAATCAGTGAATTAATTGCTTAAACTCAGCATAACGTTACAGTGGTGTAATTTTTTTTTTAATTTGTTGAATACAGTTCAGTCAAATTTTAAGTCCAACACATTTGCATGAAATCATTTAGTTGTACTGCACCAAATTGAGCTTTTTTCTTTCCAAAGGTATATATTTTTTTCCATCCATCCATTATCTGAAACCGCTTAATCCTCATAACGGTCGCGGGCGTGCTGGAGCCTGTCCCAGCTGTAGGCTGGGTACACCCTGAACTGGTTGCCAGCCAATCACAATAAAAAATATGTATTCTTGTCAATAGAAATTATATTTTTTATTTTTATGACAATGACATTTAATGTGATTCGGAGTGATCACATCCCCTACCATAATCAAAATATGAATTGATTTTGTCCTTGGCATCACCTGCTTGAACCCTCAAGTTTAATTATTGATTTTGTGTCAAAATATCAGTTTAATATTAATATAAGAGCAGATAAGGTCTCAAGTGATGATGGGTCAGAGTATCCTCTTAATGTTGTCGGGTGATGCTTTTGCGAGGGCGAGACAAGAAGAGCTGCAGGGCGGCCGTCTGTTATCAATCACAAAGTCCATTTAGTTGGACACAACAAGTCTCATAAAATTAGTCACCATTCTAACCTCAGTGACACCGCTCACCATATTATTCAATGGGGGGGGAAAAAAAACATTCACAAGTAATTTACGCTGTCACATTGTATTAAAAAAATAACGGTTCCACTACTTTTTAAGCCTGGATAAGAGCAAATAAAACCTGCCAACCAACCTAATAACTCGAGAAAAAAAAAAGATAAATAGCACCACAGTTGATACATGTCATCCCTTTGATATCTCACTCTTCTCACCTGCTTTAGGCACTTTAAAGATAAGAACGGATTCAATATGAAACCTAATAAAGATTTTACGGTCCACTTGTATTATTTGTATAATTTTAACACAACACGCATACAGTGATTACCTTGAAGCAGGTAGGACAATAGCGATGATGACAAAGTGTAAGCAACAACCTGCAGACCCACACACACACATACACACACACACACACACATTACAAAATGAAGACATATTGCATTGATTATCATTTTATTGCCACCTGGACATGGATGAGATAAGCAAAGTACAATAACATTCGGGTAATAAACATTTCATATCGTCACAAATACAATATGTAAACAACAGAGAACAGCATGCCGTATTATGTTCAAATATTTTACAGTTTTGTACAGACTCTTGCAAAAATAAGTGTATTGCCACATTCCATTGAATTAGTGTCCTAAAGGCATGGCAGTGGTTGAGTATAAATAAAAAAATAAAAATAAAAAGACTAAAGTTTTGGTTTGATATGGAGGACTTCTGAGGTGTGCTCATCTTTTGCAGAAATAAAACAATCTGTTAAAACAAAAGAAATACAAAATCAACTTTTGTATCCGGATTTGGACAAAATTCTCAAACTCACCTCGAAAGGAAGCAGCCTAATGGTCGATCTGAGTTCTATTTGAGATCCTATACATATCGGAGTGCTTCACCTTCACACTTTTTCTCCCTAGAAATGAAGACAGTGTTGTCTTAATTGATGGAGTGGGTGTGTAGCCAAAAAAAACCAATTTTCGACAAAATAAGACATGAATACTAACCTCTTTTGAGCGTTGGATATTTGCTGCTGTGCCTGTGAGGTAAAACGAGGTTCAAATTATGGTTAAGTAGTAAAGTCGCCACCTACATTTTTGCCTGTCTCTAGTCTTAAGTCTTGATATCGGGTCCAAAGTCGAGCCCTCGAGTCTTCTTTTATGCGTAATAATAGGAGGATATTTACCTTTTCCTTCTTCTGAGCCCATAGACGATCAACCCGATCAGGATGACACTGAGAATGCAGCAGCCGACCGCGATGGCGGCAGCGACCCCGATGGCCGCCCAGCAGTCGCATTCGGGCAAGGCTGGAAAAAAGACGGACCTTCGTTGTTCACAACGAATCGCATTTTTTAAAAGGATAAGTACAATGCAAATATATTCAAATATATACTTGGAAATAAGTTGGGCCATTTCATACATAAATTCAATTTTCTTTTGTAAAATACAAATTTCTTAAAGGTGATTTTTTTTTTTTTAGTGTTGAGCTGTAACAATCAAAATGATAAACAATGAAAATCATCAAATATTTCACGGTGTGTGCTGAATGTTTATGAGTGTCACTTTTAAATTTGATCTACTGTAATGAAGTTTTCTGCTATTAAGTTATCCAAAGTAATGGAAAAAATGATTAGAGCACTCTTGTTCCTTTGGTTTTTTTTGTTGTTGTTTTTTTTTCTTCAATTTAAATGGCTGACACAGCTAAAGGTACACTTGGTTGGACAAATAAACAGTCATGATGACTACAAAAATTCAAGTAATGGTAGATAGCCATTTGCCATGCATCTTTTCTTGATAATAACCAAACATTTTTTAATAGCGTGTAGTAACAAAAGCTTTTAGAGACTGCATATTTTCTTTTTTGTGTCGGTCACATGATACACCTTCCCTGGTAGTAGGCATTAAAATTAAGACAGAATTGAAGAAAACAATGCTGGTGTAGTATATATTTTTTTTCCCTTCAGCTTACTTAATTCACCTGGAGACAAATTCAATGCACGACACCAAAGACGGAAAAGAACTTGGTTGTGCCTCACGTACCCAAAACGGATAGCTTGTGGCTTCCTGTTGCGCTCTGTCCTGTGACAGCATTCCGGGCTGTGCAGACGTACTCCCCTGCGTCCGAACTTCGACTTGCAACGACGACGTATGTGGCTGTGCGCACGCCGGTGGGCTTTCCGTTAAAAAGCCAGGAGAAGCTCGCTGTCGGTACGGATGAGGCAGAGCAGAGAAGCATTGCGTGTCGTCCAATGTAAACCGAGTCTGGGCCCTCGATGGTCAGGCTGTCCGGTCCATCTGTCAATCAACAGATTAAAAAAAAAAAAGTTTAAGAAGAAGCATCTGGCAGTTATGCCAATAGAAAAAAAATGAGCACCTATTATGACAATAAGCAGCACTTTGTAAGTAGTGAACAATTCTTTCCTTTTTCACTCCCAGTTGAATTAAAATAAACATCAAACAAAGAGGATTTCGGTCCACTAGCTTAATGCTAAATAACATCTATGTAGCGGTGTTGTAACACATGTAGAAAGACAGCATGACGGTACTTGTAGTCATATGTGATTTATCCTCTATGTAGAGCAAGTAATATTACTGCCGTACTGAGGAGCTGAGAGGAATTGAGACATCTCAATGAACTGTCTGTCCATCTCATTCTGTCCCCTGGTGGCCAAGGCGGGCACACCAGAAAAAGCGGCACAGCAAACCAAAATGACCAAGTCACGCCAGGAGATCTGAGTCGGTGAGTCTCTGCTTCAAACTCACACTGAATGAAAAGATGCAGC